ACTCCTCCTCATGCACTTTCCACTCAAGGAGTCACTTATATCCTGTGCCCATCTTCGTGGTACCATGCCTTCTGCTATAATTTTTTCCAGTCCGTCGTGGCGCTTGAAATGACCAAAATATTTCAGCTTTCGAGAGAGGATGCTGTTTATTAGCCAAACTTCTTTGATGTTCAGATCTTTTAATATGCCAATATTTCTCATCTTCTTTGTCCAAGATATTCTGAGAATCTTTCTATAGCCTTTCACCTCAAAAGCCCCTATTCTCTTTCTTAAGGACTCAATCCACATGTGAATCCATGAAAAATAAGGGTCGAATGTAGCTATGTACGGCGGTCGCGTACAGTTAGAGTAGTTGTTCTTTCGTTGACATCGTCACAGTACCAACATGGCAGCCCCCTGTGTTTGATTAATCTCACCAACAAATATTGTTTCCCAACCGTTATTTTTGGATTATATTCATAAATTACAACAAGATAACCCCGCAAAATCGGACAAGGATTGTAAGAAGTTATAAATTTTTTCTTTAATAGAAAACAAAGTCATACCGTTCAAAAACCGCCCACTTTGTTTTCTATCGTCTGCTATGTTTCAGTGTTTATTTGATTTGTTATTTTAGTCAGGTTATTAATTATTATGACTGAACTCTGTTCATTTCTCAGAATATCGATTTGAGACTAACTGTACAATCTGCAGCTCTTTTACCTACCATAGACATGTGCATTATTTATTATGCGATTGTTTATACGTCAGTGAAAGTGCAAGGAGAATTGTCTAAAGAAGGAGAATTGTCTGTCTATGGCTCTATGGCTATGATGTTTAAAATTAGTAATGCTAGTGAAGTGTTATATATTGGATCGTTACCAATGAAGAAACCATACTAGCTGCATAGATATTAAATTATCCAATGTACTGATACCTTATTGAAGCCTGTAAGTTAGTTCTAAGTGCAGATATTAATACTTGAGTGGCGAATATCACCAAAGACAAATTATGGCTCTACTGGCAAATCCGGACGAAGAATAAACTTGGACGACTTAGTCAGAGTTATCTCCTGTCGCCGCACTCCGAACAGTAATCGGAAAACAAACGAAACAAACGACACACTTACCTATCATCCTGCGGTTGCGTGTAGGGCTGCGTACGGTTGCGTGAGACATCATGGCATCATCATATGGTTGCGTGCACAGTTGCGTACGGTTGCGTGAGGCATTGTGAATGGTTGTGTAGTCATCATCATGCGGTTGTTGGATTAGAGTTAGGGGTAGGGTTAGGGGTAGGGGTAGGGTTAGGGTAGGGTTAGGGTTAGATGTGAAAATTTTGACGTAGGATTTCGAAATACTGGCCGACAATATGATGTTTGTGGGAGTGGCGCCACTGAAACTCTGCCAAATATGACGCCAATAGCGTGCGGCTGGTGCCCCCAATCGTTGGCGAATTGTGCGTTTGACCAGCATCCAGAGGCCCTCGATTGTTTGTGTGTGTGTATGGGACTGTGCGCGATTATAGGGAACTCCGGCGTCAAAATTGTCAAATCTAACGCTAATCCTAACCCTACCGCTAACCCTAATCCTAATCCTACTCCCTAACCCTAACCCCTACCCCCCTAACCACGCAAATTTATCGATCATTAAAGCATACAAATCGGCAAACACCAACAAACAAAACACACCCAAAAAAAAAAACACCCAGAATTGTCCTGCAGCGTCGAAAAAAACCCCAGATCTGGGGGAAACAACCAAGCATTGGCAGCCCTGATGTCGACGTGACTGTCTTCTTTGTTTCGTTGTGGCTTTTCCGATCACTGTTTGGAGTGCGGCGACGGGAGAGAACTCTGACTAAGTCGTCCAAGGCTGTTTATTCTTCGTCCGGATTTGCCAGTAGAGCCCAAATTATAGTGTCAGCCGACAAAAGATGGATGCTCATGAGTCCCAGTAAAATGTAGGGTGGAAATGACTAATTTTTTTGCATTTGATGGCAATAACTATTGTGTTGGATAATGAACCCCTTAGCAACTACTAGGGAGAGTCCGAAATTATTTACGCTTTTTATTCTACAGTTTATTTACATGAAGCTTGGGTTTTACTGTGCACATAATTTTTCTACCTAATCTCCCTCCTTATCAGTGCACTTTGGTGTGTGTGTGTTCATGCTTGTGTGTGTATGTGTGTGTGTGTGTGTGGGTGTGTGTGTGTGTGTATTATATAAAACATAACACAAGCAGTATTTGAATTACATAATTTTTGACTCATTTAAGGATTATTACTCAACAAAATTCGTTTGGCAAAGTGCTAGAAAAGATTATTGCCTTTAAACTGCACAGACTTTCAGAAAGAGAAGAGCTGCTGCCAAGAGGTCTAGGCAGCTACTGGCTAGGGAAAGATACCCGGTTCTTCTTCTTCTTCGCGTTCACCAGCTGTAAACTCTGGCGGAAAGTTCTGGTTGGTTATCTACTTCTGGACTCTAGTCCTGTTCCAGAACCTGAGTGTTGCGTGTGCATCCATTTTACAGATCTGACTCATTTGTCTGCATACTGCTGGTTCCTTGCCTCTCAGGCAGATGCACTCTGACTTTAAAGGAAGCTCCCAGTTAGTTGACTCTTATGACATTCTTTTGGGTAGGCAGTGGGTCTATTCTTGCTTTCCCTGTAATAGGGCCCTGGAACCCACACGGGGATGATACCCGCTTAAATGCAGCCACTCTTACTTTTGATGTTTATGAGAGGTTCCAGAATAGACAGGAAATGATCAAGACAGCTGTTGATCTTGAGGATGCCTACAGTAGAGTCAGAAATGACATATTGATGTCTGCCCTCATGGAGAAGGAGATCTATCCCTGGCTGGTAAATTGGATTATCAGTTTTCCTACATTCACGTATAGTTGCCCTCAGCCTGGGTACATGGACTTCAGATTCATGCAGTATTGCTGCAGGCCTACCAGAAGATCATGCGGTTTCACCAGTGATTTTCAGAGTGTACACAAGCAAGGCATGATTTTGAGGCATGATTTTGAAGAAGAAGTAGTAGTAGAAGTAAGTAGTGAAGAAGTAATCAAACTGTTAGAAAAATTAAACATTGATGGGAAAGATCTACGATTAATAAAGCATATGTATTGGCAGCAAACAGCAGCTATAAAAATTAACAACTGTTTAGGTACATTTCAAAGCATAAAGAGGGGCGTAGGACAAGGATGTGTACTGTCACCTGATTTGTTTTCAATATACAGTGAATATATAATGAGAGCTTTAATTGGTATGCCCGGCACAATATAAACAATTTACGTTATGCTGATGACACAGTGTTGATAGCAACAAGTCAGAAAGAATTACAGGAAATGATAGACATTGTGGTGTTAGAAAGGGGAAGAATGGGCCTCAGTTTGAATAATGGGAAGACAGAAGTAATGGTGGTATCAAAGAAACGAATTATTCCTATGTGTGTAATAAAAGTTGATGGTGTTATTTTAGGACAAGTACAGAAATTTAAGTATCTGGGCACATGGATAACATCAGATGGAAGATGCATAACTGAGATAAGAAACAGAATAGTACAGGCAAAAACTGCATTTTATAAAATAAAAATCATCTTGTGCAATATATCCTTGTCATTGAGAGTTAGAAAAAGAATTCTTGCTTGCTACATACATCCAGTTTTAACATATGGCTGTGAATCCTGGACAATCGGTAGGCAGACCAAACAATTTCTGGAGGCCTCGGGGATGTGGTTTTACAGAAGAATGCTTAGAATACCTTGGACAGCCAAAAAGAGCAACCAAGAGGTTTTGAAAGAGGCGGGAGCCCGAAGACAACTTATCACAGACATCAGAAGGAGACAGTCATCATTTTTCGGCCATGTTATGAGAAGAGGGAAAATAGAAAATGTTGTGATCACTGGAAAGATATGTGGAAGGAGAGATAGAGGAAGACAACGAGAGAAGATGCTTGACAGTCTTGTTGCATGGCATGGAGGTGTGTCGGCACACGAACTGATACATGCTGCAGCAGATCGCAGATTATGGAGAGGCATGATCGCCCACGCCAGTCGGCAAGGCACCTGATGATGATGATGATACAAGCAAGATTGCAGAGCTTGAACAAATATTGACAGGATTGACACAAACTTGGCAAAACATCAGATTTCCTGCATTTTACAGGTAATGCATGCAAAAAACTAAGGTACACTTAGTGTGATTAGTGAAGTGGATATGTCGTCACTGCCATAATTCTTGTTGTTTGCCTATCTACTGAATTGAGTGCATGGTGCGACCCTGTGAGCTGCGGATATCATTTGGAATTTTTCTTTACTGTGACCAACGTGGTGTTGTGAATTGTAGATTCAGAAAATGGCGCGCGGCCTGTCGTCACAAAATTGGTGGTGCCCTTATGTGATTATAATTGATCACGTGTGCAACTGCTGATTTTTTGGTTACCTCTGCTACCGTCGATGATGAACTGCATTTCTTATGTCAGGCTACCGTATGCTTTTAATGCATGTGTATGCTAGTGCATATGCTGAGACAGCAGTCTGTCAATCTTTCCACAAGGGACTGTGATGAACATTCTGTGTTTTTTATTGGCACAGGAGCGGAGTAACTATGGGTGACCCGTTTGCTATGAAGCTGAGAATAATATTAACATTAATTCTTGTTGATTAGTTCATAAAAAGTAAATGATTTATGTCAGTTACTGTATATTTTTGTTTTAAGGGTATACAAATTATTTGTTTGACAAAGATCAAAGACATTCACCACTGTAAGAAAACAGCAGCACTTGTGCAGTTGTGAATTATGAAATCCTAATTAGATGAGAAATCCACGACCATATGCAAAAAATTATGTTCAACTATGCAGGAGATTTTGAGATATTTCCTAAAGTTTGAGAGCACGACTTTTGGAGCAGATTGTAATTGCATTGTCCTCTGTTTTTTTTCTACAGGACTGAATAATTTGTAGACATTGTAGAAACAAATTGGTATCCAAAGAGAAACTGCCGGTTCCTACCCACTATGGCAGGACATGGACAGAATAATCCAGCAGTGGCAAAAAAGTTACTGGATAGCATGCAGAATGACTTACGTACTTTATCTGCAGAATGTAAACGGAAGCATCCAGAAGTGAAAGAGGTATGTGATATGTTGTTGTTTAATCACTTTATATGGATAGAACAGCAGAGTTCATCAAGGTAATTACCCGAGCAGTTGGCATGAAGTGCTGTGTTTTACATCTGTGCTGCATTATGTATGGCTTTCAGATTAACACACTTTCAGTTTCAGGGTGTCTTCGTGGCGAAATGTCAAGCCATATTCCTCACACTCTGAAGGTTGTGGGTTCATTTCACAGCTGAGCCCTTCAGTTCACGAGTGCGAATTTTACGATTATCCCTGGGGATCGTCGGCGGAGCTACGGTGTTCGTGTTCTGTGTGTCGCTCTTGGAAGGTGGCTAGCCATTCTCGTAGTTAGACCAAGCCATATGGGATAAAACCCGGTGCAATAAAGTCAATTCTCTCGACTTTAACCTTTAAAACTGTTTTTAATTGGTCACCTTTTAAGACATTCTCTTTAGGGGCAGTAGATCTGTCCCCCCCCCCCCCCCCCCCCCTTTTTTTTTTTTTTCCAGGGAGAAAGAGTTGTGCCATATCTAGCAGGTAGAGTTGAGTTGAGTTAAGAATTTACATCCCAGCACACGGAGCATTCCCATGTGTACTACTCCGTCCTTATCTTCAGCAGCCAGTGCAGAGTTCCAGTACTGACGGTACTGGTCACAATCTGGTTATATGTCCATCTTGCTTTTCTTTTGAGTGTAGTGATCTGGTCAGACCCTCTGGGTTCATGCAGGTGCCTCATTCTCTCCAAGCCATAATAATCAAGTTTCTATACTGATTCCGTTGCTTGCTCCCAAAGGGCCATGATGATGATGATGATGATATAGCCATATGATTACCACTTATAATGATCTTACGAGAATAAACAGGATGTCTGGGGTTTGTCCCTGTTGGAGTGATATTTGGGTCACTCCCTCTTCTCATAACATGGCCGAAAAATGATGACTGTCTCCTTCTGATGTCTGTGATAAGTTGTCTTCAGGCTCCCATCTCTTTCAAAACCTCTTGGTAGCTCTTTTTGCTGTAGAAGATATTCTAAGCATTCTTCTGTAAAACCACATATCCGAGGCCTCATGAAATTGTTTACCAGTAATGCATCTTCCATCTGATGTTATCCATGTGCCCAGACACTTAAATTTCTGTACTTGTCCCAAAATAACACCATTGACTTTTGTTACACATTTAGGAGTAATATTTTCTTTGATAACACAATTACTTCTGTCTTTCCATTATTCTAACTGAAGCCCATTCTTCCGCTTTCTATTACCTCAGTGTCTATCATTTCCTATAGTTCTTTCTGACTTGTTGCTATCAAAATTGTGTCATCAGCATAAAGTAAATTTTCTATATAGTGCCCACCAACCACAATTCCGGGCATATCAATTAAATATCTTATTATATATTTACTGTATTTTGAAAATAATCAGGTGACAGTACACATCCTTGTCCTACGCTCCTCTTTATGCTCTGAAATGTACCTAAACAGTTGTTAATTCTTATAGCTGCTGTTTGCTGCCAATACATATTTTTTATTATTCATAGATCTTTTTTATCAATGTTTAATTTTTCTAACAGTTTGATTACTTCTTCATGCTTCACACAGTCAAATGCTTTTGTATAGTCTATGAAGCATAAGTACAAATCAGTCTTTACTTCTATAGCTCTTTCTTACAATGTCCTTAGGATGTATATGGCATTGTTTGTACTTTTTCCTTTTATATAACCACATTGTTCATTGCTGATTTCTGGTTAAATTTTGTTTCTTATTCTCAGTAAAATCTTAGCCATGTGACTCATAAGACTTATTGTGCAATGGTCTTCACATTTTAAAGCTAGATGCATATATGTACAGACCAGCTGACATTCAGGGGCTGTGTGATCAACTTAACACTGGCCACTTTTACTTCCCAGGATATGTCCTCCTACCAGTTTCTTATGTCAGCTCTGAAAATTCGCCTTGATCAGTATGCAGTCGTAAAATCGTCAGACTGGCAGGGAAGTGTCTAGCCATCTAGCCACTGTCTAGCCATCTAGCCACTGTCTAGCCATCTAGCCACTGTCTAGCCATCTAGCCACTTTCTAGCCATCTAGCCACTGTCTAGCCATCTAGCAACTGTCTAGCCATCTAGCCACTGTCTAGCCATCTAGCCACTGTCTAGCCATCTAGCCACTGTCTAGCCATCTAGCCACTTTCTAGCCATCTAGCCACTGTCTAGCCATCTAGCCACTGTATTGTTGCTGCTCTTATGTCCTGTAATGCAGGTGTGCTTTTATCTGTAAATCCCATGGACATAGGCTTTATTTGTAATAAAAGGCAGAAAAAAAAAGGATAGAAGAAGAATAAGTGGCAGCCACTGTTTTACTGCTGCTGGATTGTATAATGCAGATGTGCTTTTCGTTTTAAGTCGCATTAAGACGTATGCTTCATTTGTAATAAAAGGAAGAAGATGTTTGGTCATATAGTACAGGTGTGTGTTTATGTGTAAATCACCTAAAGATACACTTCATTTGTAACAAAAATCAGAAAAAGAAGAAATAGAAGAAAAGGAAGGAGAAGAGAATTAGAAGAAGAGAATTAGACTTAGAAGAAGAAGAGAAATAGAAGAAGAAGAAAAATAGAAAAAGAAAAAGAAGTAGCAACAGCAGAAAAAGAACTAGGCCCGTTGTTGAAGTTATTGAGTGTCGCCTAGCTTGACTACACTCACTGTAGCGCTTTGACAGCTTGTGAATGGAGTTTTTAAATAGAAGAGGAGTTATGAAGTCTCTGCTTGCAAATAGCAACGAAAAGGATAACCTTGCTGTTACTGACTGTAATTCTTTTGTGATGTATTCACAGTTTGCTGAAACTGTTCAGGTGAAGCTGAGAACCATCTCGACCAGAAGTGAAGACATCATCGCTGGTACGTATTCATCAACATAAAGTAAGCTACATTGCATTTTATCATCAGGTGAAGTTAAGACATCATCGCTGTTATGTATTCATCAACATAAAGTTAACTACATTGCATTTTATCATCAGGTGAAGTGAAGACATCATCGCTGGTATGTATTCATCAACATAAAGTAAGCTACATTGCATTTTATCATCAGGTGAAGTTAAGACATCATCGCTGGTATGTATTCATCAACATAAAGTTAACTTCATTGCATTTTATCATCAGGTGAAGTGAAGACATCATCGCTGGTATGTATTCATCAACATAAAGTTAACTACATTGCATTTTATCATCAGGTGAAGTGAAGACATCATCGCTGGTATGTATTCATCAACATAAAGTAAACTACATTGCATTTTATCATCAGTTGAAGTGAAGACATCATCGCTGGTAAGTATTCATCAACATAAAGTAAACTACATTGCATTTTATCATCAGGTGAAGTTAAGACATCATCGCTGGTATGTATTCATCAACATAAAGTTAACTACATTGCATTTTATCATCAGGTGAAGTTAAGACATCATCGCTGGTATGTATTCATCAACATAAAGTTAACTACATTGCATTTTATCATCAGGTGAAGTGAAGACATCATCGCTGGTATGTATTCATCAACATAAAGTTAACTAAATTGCATTTTATCATCAGCTGAAGTGAAGACATCATTGCTGGTATGTATTCATCAACATAAAGTTAACTACATTGCATTTTATCATCAGGATTGCAGTTCTTTGCATTCAGATTGTTGCATAGACATATCCTTTTGGGTTTGTCTTTATTGTTAAAGTAATGGACCCGTACCACACTTTTAGGCATATTGGGCAGATAGCACTAGAGCTGTATTTTATAGACCAGTCGGCGCTTAATGGGTGATGTGATCAGCATCACACCAGCCGCCTTTACTTTCCAGGACTATACCTGGTACCCTGGTAAGGCTAAGTCGACTTGGGAGCCAAAGTCATTTTTGAAGAAAAACGTCTGGCTTCTTTACTAGACTGACCAATGGCTAAAATATTTTTAGGATCTCTGGAACATGTTCGGCACTTAGTGCCGGTAAAGGAAACGACCTTCAACTAGTAGTCTCCACTGGGCAAAGTGTTTGGGTCTGTTGACTGTGAAATAACACAATTGAGTGAATATTACCAGTCGAGACATAACCCCGGCCAGTCTGTATTCTTTCTCTTCCTCTTCTTCTGTTCCTCTAGTATACTGTAAAACTGTTCTTGATGTTGTCTTTCAGTGTTTTTCATGGTCTTTTCTTTGCTCTGTTTTCATTACATTTCTTCAGCGTGGCTCTATTTTGCAGTTCATTGTAGGGCATTCTCATCAGATGGGCAGATCATTTTTGTTGTTGTTCTTTAGTGAACTGTATGACTGGTTTGAGTCCTAGTATTCTGTTAATTTCTGTGTTTATAATTTTCTTTTCTTCTTTTTTCTTTTCTCTGCTTTTGGAATGCATGATAGCATCAGGGCAGGAAGAGATCTCTCGAACCGCTCTTCTGTTCGGTTCATATGTAGATCTTTTCTGTGTTTCTGAAATGTATGCAGTCCGTCTTCTGAGTGGTCGACCTCTGGATCTGTTACCACTGTATCTGCATAAGATTGCTTCCTATGGTGCCCTATCTGTTGCCAATCTTGTAACATGGTCGAACTACTTGATCTGTTATTTATAGATAAAGTTCACTATTGGTTCTGAGCTGACTCTTTTCCTGATATCATCATTTCTAGGTCGATCTTTCATTATTTAACTTCATGATGTACGTAAATATTGCATATCTGTCATGATTATTTTTGTTCTGTCTTCTGAAGACAATGTCCATGTTTGACACTGGTAGCACAGTGTTGGTAAGAATAGTGTGTTGAACAGTGCTCTTTTAGTGTTCATATTCGCTTGCTTGTATTTCAGTATTGGTGCCCTTTGTACTTTGATTCAAGTGGCTTTATTGCTTTGCTTCTTTGTTTTAATTCTTTATCCATTTTTTCACTTTCTGAAAAAATACCCTATGGATATGTAAAGTCCTTTGCCTGTTTTCACTGATGTTTATCAGTGTTGATGTTGGTGGTTCTTTCTTGTTAGGAGATGTCATCACTTCTGTTTTATCTGTGTTGATCTTCATATTTTAGTTGATATAATGTTGTGTCTCTTTTGTTATCTCAGCTGCTCTTCTGTTGTTATGATTTGTGCTGTGAAGAATCCTTACCTGCTTACATCCTGGTATGACTCAATGCAGATGTACAGTTCCATTTCTGGTCTTGCTTGTGTTACTGGTTTGTGATATGAGAAGGAGAGCTCTGTAACACAGTCGTTATTATGGTGTCTGAAGATAAGTCTCTAAACCAGAATAACTCGACAGATGCAGAGTTTTTTTCAGGGCTGACAGTATCATAGTATCTTCTCATTCAGTTAAAGAGTTAACACTCTGTTCTCCAGAGAAATTACTAACCAATTAGCTCTCCAACCCAGCAGCCAACAACTTTTCTTCTTCTTCTTATCCTGTGACTCCTCTTCTTCTTCTTCTTCTTCTTCTTCTTCTTCTTTGTTTTCTTCTTTTTTTGTTCTTCTTCTTTTTCTTCTTCCTTTTTCTTCTTCTTTTTTCTGCTTCTTTTTTTCCCTTCTTCTGCATTCACTTTGAAAAGGCCATTGGTATGTTATGTTGTGGTTTACAGCTAACCTGCGGTATCTGCACATTCAGACCCAGCAATCTGATTTCACTAAACTCCTAATTAGTTGCCTTTTACACCATGCTTGCTGGGGAGACAGTGAGTCTACTTCATTCCACACACACCCCCCCCCCCCCACCACACACACCCCCCCCCCACCACACACACCCCCCCCCCCACCACACCCCCCCCCCCCCCCCCCCACCCCCCCCCCCACCCCCCCCCCCCCCCCCCCCCACACACCCCCCCCACACACCCCCCCCCCACCCCCCCCCCCCCCCCCCACCCCCCCACCCCCCCCCCCCCCCCCCCACCACACACACACACACACTTAAAAGCCAACCACACAGTGATAAAGTCTCAACAGTTCACACAATCAATGATGTTTATTTCTAAAATAAGTTATATTGTTTAAGAAGTATCTTTAACAAATCAAGTTTGTTCTGACTTTGTCCCTAGGTCTTCTCCCAATGAGCGTGGAAGTGGTCCAGCCGTTTGTGATGGGCTGTGATACTAAGAACCCCAAGCTGCTGCCCTTGTGTCTTGTTGCTGTGCAGAGGATGATCTCTCATGAGGCCATCTCTACGGTACGTGATGATTTTTGTTAAACAGACATGTGATATCTAGGTTATTTCCCTCTTATGTGGTATTTAACTCCCTCAGTTCCCAAGCAGGTTTTACTGAAACTGTTCTATTCTCTGCAGTTATTAAGTTGTTGATCCTTACAGGAACCAACGCCAGCTTTTGTTAGCCCTTTGGTTTTTTTGGGTAATTGTACATGGTTGTCCTTGTTAAAAACCCACTTCCTACAGGCGGTTCATCATCTCTGGCTGCCTTGTCTCAAATTTTCTGGAAAGAAGTACATTCAAACTAGGGCTTTTACAGAAAGCCAAGAATGATAACTGACCATTCTTGTAAAAGACATTTGGGAGCAGGTTGAGATGAGACTGGCTACCTCATCCAGTAGACTGGCTACTTCATCTAGTATAATACTTTACTGCAAAATCCACCTGTTTTCTAGCAGGTCTGTAAAGGGTTTGTTAAATATTGGCTGCAGGCTTATTCTACATTTAGGAGATGAAGAAGAAAAAAAAGAAGGAGGAGGAGGAGGAGGAGGAAAAGGTTGAGTAGTGTTGTAGTAGTTAGTTGCATGGGCTGCAGCAGTAGTAGTAAATTGAATGAAGGCTAGTTATTTCACACCCATGAGAAGGTAACTACCACACAGCTATACCTTTGCTTCGGTATTTAACTGACGGTGATGGTTATCTGTTAGCAACAACAATATAACCGTCATCCCTTAGTGACATGCAGTTTTTTTTTAAATTTTGAAGTCCCACCCTATATATAGCTTAACAATTTAACGAGGTTTCCGGGACCTCTCCACGGGTGATCCTCGCCCGCATGGTGGCACTTTGTGTTTGTTGCTCTGTGTGATATCCTGGTGGGGTAAAATTAACTTACTTACTTACGTTTTGTTATTAGGCAGCTGGTGATGCCATCATTGGCATGCTGTGGCGTTTGATGGAGTCAGGCCTGGAGGAGCTCAAGTTACTTCAGACTGCCATCTTATTGCTGACCATTAACTCTGTTGTCCAGCATGAATCTCTAGCTAAGGTAAGCCAGTGGTGATGTATGTGTCTGGTTGTGTATCTTGTGTCTGGTTGTGTCTGGTTGTGTATGTTGTGTATGTTGTGTATGTTGTGTATGTTGTGTTTGTTGTGTTTGTCATGACAGGCTTAGTAAATTTCTTCCTTTTCTTCTTGTGATCGCATTCTAGATATATACACTGATAGGAAAATTTGTATGATAAAATGGACTGGTGTTTTGAGTTCCTGTTTCCCTGCAGCTTTAGGTACTTTGCTGACTCATCTGGCTAGCATTCTCCTCTAAACAGTAGAGTTTAAATCTCTTAAAAACTGCAAATTTTTCAGTTAGCCATTCTTTCTCTGCATGGCGTTAATGTTCACAGAATGTTCGTGAAAATTTGTTTTTCACACCTCTTGTTTGTTTTCCATTCTTGTGCCCTCCTCTTTCCCAAATTATTCTTATTTTAATGGTTGCTCAGAATTGATTGGGCTATTTTATTTAAATCACAGTTCCTGTGTATAGCAGAGTTCCTGTGTACACAGTGTGTAATCAGTAACAGTCAGTGTGTATGAAACAGTGTAAAGAGTGTTATTAATTTTTGTTACCTTTTACATTTCCTCAAAAACCTGAACAGAGCAGACCAGGTCACTAACGTTAAATTATGCACTGGACAACACAAGACTCAAACACCCATAAATTACCTTATGCCAACAAGTATAAGATGATCTCAAGTATAAGACGATCCTAGGTAGCTTTATTTTGGTACTGGAAATTTGGGAAAAAATTGTTGTCAAGTTATTGAACTCACATTTTATTCATCACAGAATCCAGAAAACTCCTCATCATTGTCAAAACTCTCGTCTTTATGATAGTTCTTTAGTTTGTCCTCGTCTGTGTCTGATGTTGTATAAGAAGTACAATGTTTTTAGACCCTATATCTGTGAAAATAAGAGTCTCTTTTACTTGGGGAAATACTGTAGGTATTAGCCAAACAGGTGTTTGCCACTGTCTTTGTGTGTGAACTGACCCTAGAACATTTCCTGCCAAACTGTCCTCTCCTGGAGGAGCTGTAAGGCAACATGTAGCCACAACAAGATGGATTTGAAGAAAATGGTTGGAGTTACTGATGAAATCTCATCTGAAAATGAATTAGTTTCATTTTTTTTGCCAGGACACTCTGGGGTAAGAGGGAATGAACAAGCAGATTGGCTTAGGGCCACGGTAGGTACAGGAAAATCAGTGGATGAAGCCGACATTCTCAGTGCTCTCAAGGAGGAAGAAAATGTTTCAGGAGACGATGTTTAATTGGCAACTCTGAAAAGGCTACAAGAACTTCAAGTCAAAAGAGGTGTTGCCAAACAGGAACACTATACAGGTAGCCAAAAAAGAATAGTAAACCAACACACAACAAGTTTTATCAGTTGCCACTTGCTGAGGATATACAGAAGATGGGATCCAAGCGCTTATGGATTTGTCCAAATTGCAATCAGAATAATCTTTCAGTTAACTATAAACTATAACATGTAGCCACACTTAGTATACCTAACAACTAAGTTAAACTTTTATATCTTCAAATATTTTTCGGCACCCCTGTGAAGAGGTCACAGCTCCCCGGGGTGCAGCGGCGCACATTTTGAGAATCACTGTATTAGAAGATTAACTGGGTTGTTTAGTTGATGTCTAGGCGCTGATGCTTTTTTTTTTGTAAACTGTGTTGTTTAATCGATGTCTAGGCACTGGTGTTGTGTTTCCGACTCCACTTCACAAAAGACAGCACCACAATCAACACTGCAGCTGCAGCCACTAAACAACTGGTGTCAGCCATTTTTGACCGGGTTGTTTTAGAGGATAAAATACCAACAACAGGTGAGTGCTGTATGTGTTGTCAAGGATAAAATACAACAGGTGAGTGCTGTGTGTGTTGTCAAGGATAAAATACCAACAACAGGTGAGTGCTGTATGTGTTGTCAAGGATAAAATACTAACAACAGGTGAGTGCTGTATGTGTTGTCAAGGATAAAATACCAACAGGTGAGTGCTGTGTGTGTTGTCAAGGATAAAATACCAACAACAGGTGAGTGCTGTATGTGGTGTCAGGAAGAAGAAAAAAAAACAGAAGAAGAAAAAGAATAACATTTTACAGTATCTGTACGCAATGATCCACAGTACCGGTACCTTTTCTTAGACATCATTTGTTTTCAGAGCTACTGTTATAGGCAACTTATGGTGAGTACGAGCACTTTGTATAATTTTTGTGGTGAGTAAAAGGTGAAGATCCTTAACACGCCAGAGGCGCATCAGACATATAGGCCCAGACTCATATCTTTATAGACCAAATGTGTGATGTGGTCTACATCACACCGGCCGTTTGTGATGGTACTGGCATCTTTTTTCCCCCACACCCCCCTAGATGAAAGGCCTGTGTACCTTAACATTGTCTTTGTTGTTGTCTTCACACTGCAGAACCCAAAGAGCCGGTGAATCTAGAAGAACTGAAAGCAGGAAGCCGGACCCCACCATCATCTCTCAGACCATGTGCAGGGGATGCCTACTTGTTGTTTCAGGTATGTGCATTTGTTACTATAACCTTCACCTCCTGCTCCTTCTGCTTCTTCGCCTCCTTTTCATTTTCTTACTTCGTCTTCTTCCTTTTCCTCCTCCTCTTCCTATTCTTCTTCTGTTAAATTAGGCATTTGGCATATTGCGTTGTGGTTTAAAGCTTGGCTGTGATATCTGCGCCTTTTTTGGCCACCACATCAGATTTAAGCAAACCCCTAAATAGTAATCTTTTACCACATGTTTTTAAGGGGCAGTTGGTTTTTGTGTGCCCCTCCCACTTTCCATAACCCACATGGGAAGCTACTGTAGCCAAAGAAGTTCAATATTTTAAAAACTGTTAATAATTAATAATGTAATGTTCTTCTTTTTCCTTGCTTTCACCAGTTTTAAACTTTGTCAGAAAGTTTTCATTTACTTCTGAGCCTTGGTCCTGTTCAGGAATATGTTTTGCATGCACATCCATTTCTCACATCGGGTTTAATTCTGTGCAGTCTGTTTGTTTCTCGTCCCTCAGGCAAATGCACTCCAACTTCAGAGGAAACACCTCTAATTAGTTGCCTTTTATGAGATGCTTGTTAGGGAAGCAGGGGGTCTTTTCTTTGTTCCCCTAATGGGGGAGCCCAAGTGAACCCACTCAGGAAAATGTCTTAATCAAAACAATAGAGTAATCTCTTCCAGTTTATCTTACCTAACTCAGTTTATTCCCTGGAAAGTTCAAAATTGTGGCTATAATTTACTTAAGTGAAATACATAGATCTTTGAACCTTCAGGAACTAACATAGAGTTTACTTGAATGATACATACATGGGTATATGCAGAAACAAAAGATTCAATTTAACAGGGTAAAAAAAAATCATACACTGTGAGACTATTGAATATGGATACTGTACTTCATCATTACACTTCTATTTTTAAATGTAAAGATCGTGTAGCCAGTTTTATAACCATCCCTGTTAGTAAATCTTTGTGTAGCTTGTAGCTTGTTTATTTTCATTGTAGTTAACCTTTGACTTTACCAGGGCTCATATTCTGGAGACATGACCAAAACATCCTAACTGTGCTGCCCCAGCTTGGAGTCAGCAGTTTCGTTTCTTATTCTTCTTCTTTTTTTGCATTTGGTTTCGTATGCTCAGATCAGACCATCAGTTGGGTTGCCTCTATGAACTCGTATGTCAGTAGCATGTCCTTCATGGTTCACCATAGCTTGCTCTGCACACTTTGCTCTTGAGGCCAGGTGTCTTTTCGAAGCTGTCTGTAGAGTGTTCCTGTTTGACAGGCACACTGTGGGGACTGTACAATCTTTATTTTATGCATGTGGCAGTTGAGCCTGCAGTGTCCTGTTAGTAGATGGACAATTGTTGTATGTTGCTTTCTGTTGAGTCTTCTGATGGGGTCTTGTGGATGTTTACTGTTAGCTTGTTCTTTCCACAATTCTTTGTATTGTTTGGTTTAATTCCCTCCTCTAACTGTCATACCATTTTCCCAGGTATCTTGTTACTGCAGACTGGGATAATGGTGCAAATGTCACCACAGTGAAATTTGTATGTGTCCTTATATGAATTATAGATGGATGTATGCTTTTTTAGATATGTGTATTTATGTATGTATAGATGTAGCTATGAGTGTTTTGGTTATTAAAACAACAAAAGCAAGTTAAATAGTAAAGATAGTATGTAAATAAATCTAGAGTAAACTATTGTTAACGTGAAGTTAGCAAATTTTGATCTCAGAAGGGATTTATTATTATTATTATTATTATTATTCCCCAGTGAGCATCAGCATTTTTTTAACATGAACTTCTACAGTTATAATCTGCATTTTCTCTGTATTCAATGAACATAAACCAAACTTGTATAACAAAATAAACCTGTATTATAATCTTGTATATTGACGAAACTTGCAGGATCTGTGCCAGTTGGTGAATGCGGATCAGCCGTTCTGGTTGACTGGCATGACCGAGATGACCCGGACCTTCGGCCTGGAACTTGTGGAGTCAGTACTCACCAGTTATGCTGAAACATTCATTCAGGTTGGCTGAGGGCGGACCCTCTTTTTATGCTGTGTTTATAGCACATAACCATAGTTGACATGCAGCTTTTGCTTCCTGTTTGGCTAAAGCATCTTTTTTCTTTTTCTTCTTTTTCTTCAGCATTTCAAGAGCTTGAGGTTCATAGCTGCTGGTTTCAGCTGCCTACATTTGTCTATACCTGTATGTTTGTGTGTGTGTGGAATGTGCATGTTTGTGTGGGTATGTAGGTATGTATGTGGGTGAATGGGGGTGTGTTTATGTGTGTGTGAAGGTATGTGGGTGTGTTTGAGTGAGCGGGTGTGTGTGTGTGCGTGCGCTAGTGTGTGCATGCATTTTACCACCCATGCTTTTGTGCTTTTTCTTTTTTTCTTTTTTTGTGTGTTGATATTCATAATATGCATATCATCATATGAATATAACATGCTTTTTAATAAAATACAACTGCAGTGTGAAAGATGGTGTTTGGAAGGGCCGAATGTAAGTCGGGCCTGTGGCCCAATTTGTGACCCTTTGAAAATAAAGTTTGTTTGTTTGTTCTTCATGTGGTTATATTCCTTTTAGCAGTACCACTGATAGTATCTGATAGCTTGTAGACAGTAATGATATTTCTATACATTTTTCACACTTTTAATTCTCTTTCTTAAATATAGGTATTATTAATGGTTCTTTCAACTCAAGAGGGGATTTCTTTGTCCTCTAAACTTCTCTTGTGACTCATAAATTTGTTAATATAACATATGCTCACCTCCTTTTATAATTTCAGCAGTGATTCCATCAGCACCATTTGCTTTATTATTTTTCCAATTGAGACATTTATTTTCAACATATATTATTTATAATTTTGAATTTGGTATGTGGTTATGATTTTAGTCCATTTGATCCATTTTTAAAACATTGCTTCTGGAGAAATTTTTCTGCTTTGGATTGTTGTTTCTGAATCCCTTGGAAGATCTTTGCCGGATGCATTGTAGTCCAGCTTAGCCCTATAAAGGAGTTGCATAAGGGTGAAGTTATAGAGAGTGTGATGGTGGCCGAGCATTATCTCCCTACAGACTTTGTGGCAAAGCTCTGTTCCTCCTCTATAATTTGAGCAACTACTACTGATCTTCCTCGGTAGTTTCAGAAACTGCTGCTGTATGCAAGATCCTTAGCCTCAGTCAGCAGCTGGTACAGGAGAGAAGCTGTCTGGGCAGACTGTACTGTTCTTCTGATACGGCAGCTTCTGCAGCACACTTTGTTCCAAAACTATTAGTTTTTTTTTCTTCCTGTGGAGTAAACAAGGCATGCAGAGATTGAACCACTGAAAGAACAAACTTTATTTTCAGAGGGTTTAGAATTGGGCTCCCAGGCTCGTCTAACATTGTGACCTTCTAGTCTCCCTTCTTTCAGACATAATTTCATTCATACATCAGGAGAGAAGAATCATGCCTGGGTAGCACATGGTCTCTACAACACTGCACCTGCTTTTTGCTGTGGAGAGGGGGCATTTCATCCCTGGCCTTGAATTGTAATCTTACTGGTCCATGAGCTGTGATTCTCATGCCTTCCTAGAGCTCAGTATAACACTGTCATCTGGACAGACAGAATGTGATCAGTGACCTGCTCGCCCATTGGCTGGCGAGTAGACGACTCCAATTGCCGGTCGGGACAGTATTTGGGTCTGTCTCCATTGATCGCTTCAACACTGCAAGAGTTCTTTTCAGAGCTACTTCGTAGTGAGCAAAAGCTAAGAAGTTTTTTGGGTTAGTTTAACATTAGTCTCCCCAAACAGACAGGTTACTTTTCATTCACAAATTTGTTGGGTTGGTTGACTTTCCTGAAGGTTACAGGTGTGTGCCACTCTGTTGTTTGATTTCTGTGATGTCTTGCATTTGCGTTTTCATTCAGAGAAAGAGAATACCTGTGAAATAGGTTGCAGCACTCTCTAGGGATGTTGTGTTAGACCCAGTTTCTCCATGTTTTTAGAGTGTTAAAAGCACTGCCGTGCTGAAATATGCAACACGCGATATCAACAGCATTGTGGAACACCCCCGTAATCTTGTGCAAAGGTCACAGGGCTCAGGAACTACCAATCAGAAGTGAGTTAGTGTGTATATGGGCGAGGTCTGGGGAGACTAACATAAGTTTTATATGGCGCACATAACCTAGTCACAATTATAACCTCAAGCTTCCACTGCGGGGATGCTCGTTGAAAGTGGCAATTTTTCAAAATTGTTTCCCAAAGCAAGCCAAGGCAGAATATTGGCAACAATAAGGTATGTACAAGCCTGGAGCTGAACCACACTGACTCTATAATCCATTTTAGGCTGGCTCATCCGAGATGACAAGAGCATGTTGCTGGAGGATCTAAGACAAAGGCATCAAAGAAGTTCATAAGTGGAATTGATTCAAAACATAAAAGACTGAGATCTGGGTGGTGACTTGAACATCTTCACCATTTGTTGAGGCGTTAATGACAATCCTGTGGTTGGATTTAATTGTTTGGATTTTCATGAGCCAAAGTATTTATCATAAACATCAGAATGAGACAGTCATCATTTTTTGGGGGGTTACATTGTTAGACGAGAGGAAAAACTGGACTATGTTGTGTCATCTGGAAAGATTTATGGAAAGATTTATGGAAAGAGAAATAGAGGCAGACCCACACACAAAAAAAAGAGTAGATTCTTGACAGTTTTATGACACTGCATGTAAGGCTATCAGCAACTCAACTGCTACATGCTGGTTGATATGGCAGGATGAGGAAAAGTATGGTCAGCCGTGCTAGATGTACTTGATAATGATGATAATAATTCCCTCCCCCCCCCCATCCCTCCACCACCACCACCTCTAATTCTAACAAAAAGCCAGACTAACTGTAGAACCTTACAGGCTAATGAAGTGCTACTTATTATGTCCCTTGAATGCGATTTTCAGCATCAAGAATTCGGTTTCATGTTGAAGGAAAGAGTGTGTCCTCTAGTGATAAAACTGTTTTCACCAAGCCTCAAGTACCGCCAAGGTCTGCCTCCAGCACCTTCACCTGCCCCTGTTGAAAAGCCATTCTTCCCCATTGTCATGAGACTTCTGCGTATTGTTGCAGTACTCATCAGGAGTTACTACCCTTTGCTGGTAAGTAATCCTTGCTAATTTAGTAGGCTGTTAACCTTTTGCCTCTGAATCCTGGGACCCAGGGGTCCTAATTATAACTTATAGTGACAGTCCATAAATTCTAGTTAAAGATCTGCTGTTCCCTTGATTTCCAGGTGATTTTGCAGTCATTCTGATGCTTAATTGTAGCTTCTGTCTCAGCAGATACATGATACCCTGTTAAACCTTCTAAAAAGTTGTTTCTTCTTCTTCAAGTTCATGCCCTGTGACATTGGTAGTCATGTCTATCCACAGCCTTCTGTCTCGTGTACTTCCAGTCACTTTTGACACAGATGATCCCTTATGCCATGGTGACAAACTGTCCAGCGTCTTCTCCCTTCCCTTTCAAATTCCCACTGTTACCATTTGCTCCAGATTTTTTCTTCTCATGACACGACCGAAGAATGTAGCTTGTCTCCTTCTTATGTGAGTAATCAGTTCTAAGTTATAATTGGGGCTCCTATAATGATTACTCTAAATATGACACTTGTTGTTTGAAAGGGTAAGGGCAATTGTGTGTACATACAACTTCAGGTGTTAACCTGAATAAACAGTGATAAAATATAGACAGGACACCTGAAAAATATTGCTATCTATGTTCTAATGATCGACAAACTTGTAACACTTAGGTTTGTTCAATAAGCTAAAGATAGTTGACACTGATGATTGTAACTGTCGAACTGGTAAAATTATGGCTAAACACTTGCTGCTTGAGTACCGAACATGCAGAACAGAAAAAAATATGATGGCTCATGCCTCTCCTTTTGAGGAAAAACTCTATGGAGATGTCAACAACTCTGGAGATGTCAAAAACTCTATGGAGATGTCATAAACTCTATGGAGATGTCAAAAACTCTATGGAGATGTCAAAAACTCTATGAAGATGTCAAAAACTCTATGGATATGTCAAAAAACTCTATGGAGATGTCAAAAACTCTATGGAGATGTCAAAAACTCTATGAAGATATCAAAAACTCTATGGATATGTCAAAAAACTCTATGGAGATGTCAAAAACTCTATGGAGATGTCAAAAACTCTATGGAGATATCAAAAACTCTATGAAGATATCAAAAACTCTATGAAGATGTCAAAAACTCTATGGATATGTCAAAAAACTCTATGGAGATGTCAAAAACTCTATGGAGATGTCAAAAACCTCCCCTAGACTATTGATTTCTTTAAAATTTTTATAATGGGGTGTAAAGGTGCAGGTGGGCTTCAGTTTGAATAATGGAAAGAAAGAAGTAATGGTGATTTCCAAGAAAAGAATAGTGCTTAAATGTAGAATAATGGAAAGACAGAAGTAATGGTGATTTCCAAGAAAAGAATAGTGCTTAAATGTATAATAAAAATCAAAGGTGTTATTAAAGGACAACTACATAAATGTAAGCATCTAGGCACATCAATAACATCTGATGGAAGATGTATCACAGAGATAAAGAATAGAACAGGACAGGCCAAAACTGCATTTTACAAAATGAAGACCATTATGGGCAGTAAATCCATGTCATTGGAGATAAGGAGAAGAATTCTTGCATGCTATATAGAGCCAGTTTTAACTTACGGCTGTGAAGTCTCGACAGTTAATAAACAAGCCGACAAATATTTTGATGCCTCAGAAATGTGGTTTTACAGAAGAATCCTTAGAATTCCTTGGATAGCAAAGAGCAACCCAGATATTTTTTAAAAGAGGCGAGTGCTCGAAGACAACTTATCACAAACATCAGAAGGAGACATTCATAATTTTTTGTCATGTTATGAGAAGAGGAGAAATGGAGCATGTTATGACTATTGGAAAGATCTGTGAAAAGAGAGACAGAGGAAGACAGCGTGAGAAGATTCTTGAGTCTTCTGTCATGGCTTGGAGGGATATCAACACATGAACTGATTACAAGGATGGCCGATTGTGGAGAGACATGATTCTCCACGCCCGTCGGCAAGGCACTTGGTGATGATGATGAAAGTGCCGAAAGAAAAAATTGACTGATAATCTTGGAACTGATCCGCTTGCCCAGTGACCGTCAAAGCAAGTGGAAGTGGAAAACTGCTGGCATTTATTAGCTCACATCTAAACCTTCAATACATGGAAAATATTTAAAAGCTAAAAAAAAACAACTGTCTGTCTGTCATGTCTGTCGTATCTGTCGTGTCTGTCTGTCTGTCTGTCTGTCTGTCTGTCTGTCTGTCTGTCTGTCTGTCTGTCTGTCTGTCTGTCTGTCTGTCTGTCTGTCTGTCTGTCTGTCTGTCTGTCTGTCTGTCTGTCTGTCTGTCTGTCTGTCTGTCTGTCTGTCTGTCTGTCTGTCTGTCTGTCTGTCTGTCTGTCTGTCTGTCTGTGTCATTGTGACACATTAACCAGGATTCACACGAAAGAACAATGACAAAGAAAAGTGGACTTCCATGCCTACTAAAATTTTAAATGACATTTCCGACATAGATGCCTACAGGCATTCACTGTAGCAACATTCGGACAGATGGGTCTGTTCCATTTATTTCTCCAGAAATCCTGCTTTTGGCAAGGCTTTCTCTCTTGATCCAGATACTCTGATGAATGTGGTCTTTTAATAGGCCGCCCCCCCCCCCCCCCCCCAATCCCCTTGGATTTACTCTTGACTAGAAATGAAATTGGCAGTGTTAGGACAGGGCAGACCAAACTCTTGGAAGGCATCTGTCTGGAAGGGAAGATCTGACAAGGAGCACCACTGGTCTGATCCAGCAGCTTCTGGACAGATATGGAGCACTGCTGGTCTGATTCAGCAGCTTCTGGACAGACATGGAGCACTGCTGGTCTGATTCAGTAGTTTCTGGACAGACATGGAGCACTGCTGGTCTGATCTAGCAGCTTCTGGACAGACATGGAGCACTGCTAGTCTGATCCAGTAGTTTCTGGACAGACATGGAGCACTGCTGGTCTGATGTAGCAGCTTCTGGACAGACATGGAGCACTGCTGGTCTGATTCAGCAGCTTCTGGACAGACATGGAGCACTGCTGGTCTGATCCAGTAGTTTCTGGACAGACATGGAGCACTGCTGGTCTGATCTAGCAGCTTCTGGACAGACATGGAGCACTGCTAGTCTGATCCAGTAGTTTCTGGACAGACATGGAGCACTGCTGGTCTGATCTAGCAGCTTCTGGACAGACATGGAGCACTGCTGGTCTGATCCAGTAGTTTCTGGACAGACATGGAGCACTGCTGGTCTGATCCAGTAGTTTCTGGACAGACATGGAGCACTGCTGGTCTGATGTAGCAGCTTCTGGACAGACATGGAGCACTGCTGGTCTGATTCAGCAGTTTCTGGACAGACATGGAGCACTGCTGGTCTGATCCAGTAGTTTCTGGACAGACATGGAGCACTGCTAGTCTGATCCAGTAGTTTCTGGACAGACATGGAGCACTGCCCGGTCTGATGTAGCAGCTTCTGGACAGACATGGAGCACTGCTGGTCTGATTCAGCAGTTTCTGGACAGACATGGAGCACTGCTGGTCTGATTCAGCAGTTTCTGGACAGACATGGAGCACTGCTGGACTGATTCAGCAGTTTCTGGACAGACATGGAGCACTGCTGGTCTGATTCAGCAGCTTCTGGACAGACATGGAGCACTGCTGGTCTGATTCAGCAGTTTCTGGACAGACATGGAGCACTGCTGGTCTGATTCAGCAGTTTCTGCAGCAGTTTTTGTTACCTTTCTTTGGGAGTAAACAATTCAATCTGAGAGAGGGGTTCACGCTGCAACACATTGTCTCTATGATAGTGTTCGAGCCTCATCCCTGGTGAGCTAGACTTTCTAGTCTCATTTGCCATCATCATGAGCTGTGACTCTCATTCGTCGGCAAAACACAGTATAACACTATCATCTATAGGGTTTTCCCTGTGTGGTTTCAGGGGGAAGGGGGGGGGCAAGAACAGACTCACTGCCTCCCCGACAAGCATATCATGAGAGTTGACTAACTGGCGACTTTCTTCGAAGTCGGAGTGCAAGGAACCAACAGTCTACATACTACATAGTCAGATTTGTACAATGGATGTGCACGCAACAGTCAGGTTCTGGAATAAGGTCAAGTCCAGAGGTGGATAAACAACCAGAACTTTACGCCAAAGTTTACAGCCAGTGAATGTGAAGAAGAAAATCTGGATGGACAGTAGGATGATGCCAATATCTTGGCCTTGAAGTTGGCATAGATGCGTACCTGCCAAACTTCATACTTGCTTTTATATATATATATATATAATATATATATATATATATATATATATATATATATATATATATATATATATATATATATATATATATATATATATATATATATATATATATATATATATATATATATATATATATTTGTTATTGCAGTTTATGAACAGACATATAGTGATGTGAATTATTTTATTCAGCATAAATTTTGTTTACATTTTTATGCTTTTATTTTTCATTAATTTTTAGGTTACAGAATGTGAGATCTTTTTATCACTGCTGGTTAAGTTTTTAGACCCAGAAAAACCAATCTGGCAACGATGTCTATCACTAGAAGTCTTGCATAAATTATCTGTCCAACCAGACTTGGTAAAGTAAGTAATAAATTTTTTTATATTTGCATATCTGATTCTTTAAAGATCTATAATAGAAGCATTCACTCATGCACACTGGAAGTGGCTGACTGACTGACTTTCTACCCCACCAGGACATCACACAAGCGATAAACACCCAATGACATAATGTGCAGGTGAGGATCACTGTGGAGAGGTCCCAGAAACCGCGTTCAGCCTTTAGGCCATATTTATGGTCAGGCCATATTGCGGCCCCTGACAAGAGCCAGAGTAGGGCTTCAAATAAGGAAAAATTTTATCCTAAAAAGGATGAGAAGTATTGATACTGGAAGTGGTGACTGGGAAGCCAGATTTGTTTAGCAGGCTCTGACCAAATGTTCAGTTTAAAAGAAGGCATAATGCAGAGGTTTTTATGGGAAAGTGGTTGAGCCATTTGACTGAAAGCCATAGGTTTAGTGTTTCCTTTGTTTCATGAAACCTTGTTGCTGGAGCTATGGAGTTGCGTGCACTGTATGATGCTATCAGCAGGCAAACAGCTCTGAAGAAGAGAGTCATAAGGGAGAATACAGTGCACTTGAGTTAATCCTCCTACCTTAAAAAGTTGAAAAAGAAGTCTGTTTTGTATGACTTTTAGTTTCTTGCCTCTCTGCCTCCTACTTCAAAGGAGAAAAAGAGTTAACACTAAAGATTTAAAGTTTAACTTGTATCAAGTTCTCATAAACTGTGTTACCACTTAGAAGAAATGATTTAATATGTCTTTCTTTCAGAAGTTTCTGCCAGTCTTACGACATGAAGCCTCATTCCACAAAGATCTTCAGAGATATTGTCAATGCTCTTGGTGCCTTCATTCAGTCCCAGTTCATGAATCCACCTGGTGGACCTGCAGCTCCAGGAGGTAAAGTTACCCTGATTTTCATTTGTTAATTGACCTGAGGAGGTAAAGTGACCCTGATTTTCATTTGTTAATTGACCCGAGGAGGTAAAGACTGCCCTGATTTTCATTTGTTAATTGACCTGAGGAGGTAAAAACTGCTCTAATTTTCATTTGTTAATTGACTCGAGGAGGTAAAAACTGCCCTAATTTTCATTTGTTAATTGACCCGAGGAGGTAAAAACTGCCCTAATTTTCATTTGTTAATTGACCCGAGGAGGTAAAAACTGCCCTAATTTTCATTTGTTAATTGACCTGAGGAGGTAAAAACTGCTCTAATTTTCATTTGTTAATTGACCCGAGGAGGTAAAAACTGCCCTAATTTTCATTTGTTAATTGACCCGAGGAGGTAAAAACTGCTCTAATTTTCATTTGTTAATTGACTCGAGGAGGTAAAAACTGCCCTAATTTTCATTTGTTAATTGACCTGAGGAGGTAAAGACTGCCCTAATTTTTATTTGTTAATTGACCTGAGGAGGTTAAAAACTGCCCTAATTTTCATTTGTTAATTGACCCGAGGAGGTAAAAAGTGCCCTAATTTTCATTTGTTAATTTGACCAAAGAAAGTAAAGGTTCCCTGATTTTTATGTTTTAATTTTACAGAGGACCTGACTTTCAGTTGTTAATTTTACAGAGGACCTGACTTTCAATTGTTCTCTCTCTGCCCCCCACCCTCTCTCTTTCTCTCTCTCTCTCTCTCTCTCTCTCTAGTTTTTCTCCTTTAATTGTTATTTTCCTTTGTCACTTTTACTCTCCAGGTTCCAGAACATTCTTGTTACACTGTTCTCTGTATGCATCCTATGCATTGTCAGCATCTTTTTATCCTCTTTTAGTTTGCTGTATTTTTAATTTTTTTTTTGCCCTTTCTAAACTGCATCTTAATTATTCTATTATACTGTTTTATTCCTTTTGTTGTATATAGGCACCGGTTAATTAACTTTTTGTAGTTAATAAAAAAATTGTTTTAGTTGTTCACCATATTTCTGAGGGAGAATAGACTCGCTGCCCTCTCACTCTCCACCTGAGACAAGGAATGTCATAATGGTTGACCAGTTATAGGTTAGCTGAGGTTATATGAGTTGGTCTGAAAGGCACAGATTTTACAGCCTAGCTGTAAACTGCAACACATTGTGTCAACCACCCTTTTAAGATGAATGCTGAAGAAAAAGGAGAAAAAGAAGAAGAAGAAGATAGAGACTGGACTATCTGGGATAGACTCAGTGCAATAAAGCCAATAAACTAATAATCACCTAATTTATGTATCTGAGAACAGCTGCAGGGCTGATCAGAAAATTAAAAATCAGGAATGCGATCAAAAGAATAAAAGTTGCTATAGAACCAATATTAAATTACATTTAAAGACAGCAAGTGAGAGGCTCTGTGCACCTACAAAATTGATTCGTCAATATCGATACCATACAAGGCACATACAAAAAGAGGATTTGGGACATAGAGCTAGATATAGATCAAAAACTCTTTCTTCTTCTTCACATTCACTGACTGCAAACTCCAGCGGAAAGTTCTGGTTGTTCTTCCATCTACTGACTTTACAGATCTAGCTCATTTATTTGCAGACTGTCGTTTCCTGGCCTGTCAGGCAGATGCACTCCAACTTTGAAGAAAGCTCCCAGTTAGTCAGCTTTCAGGACATGCTTGTTGGCGAGGCAGTGGGCCTATTCTTGTTTTCCCCCACAGTGGGGCCCTCGAATGGGGTTGAGTTGGGTTGAGTTGAGTCAAGAATTGACATCACAGCACTTGTGGCATTCCCATGTAGGCTCCATCCTCATCTTCAGCAGCCAGCGTACCTGATGGTACCAGTCACAATCTGGTTAAATGTTAGTCTTGTCTTTCCTCTGAGAATAGTCAGCCAGCCAGACCATCTGGTTACACCCAGGTGCCTCATTCTCTCCAGACCATAACAATCTTTTTTCTCTACTGATTCGGTTGCTTGTTTCCAAAGGGCCTTGACCACATTTGCCTTGTCATGCATCAATTCACCACTCAGTGGTGCAAATCCAGCCAATCTGTCTGCCTGTTCATTACCCCATTCGAATGGGGAAGACCAAAAAAACAGTGGAAAGATAACATCAAAGAAATTCAAGTGTCAGGTATCTGTGGTTGAGATGGTCGAAAAAGCAGGAACTAGAACCTCTATCCCACTAAACAGCTAAAATGGTAAAAGAGAAGGTCAAGAAGTTGGAAAAAAAAAATAAAAGAACAAAGAAATTGATTCTTTTGTCTTTAAATACATTTGAGTGTCTAACCTGTACAACAGTTACAAGTTAGTTGTGTATCCTTTACAGGATGTTGCAGAACTAACCGTAACATTTGTTAGCTGTTGTGGTTTTTCTAGGCAAATTTTCATCCAGTAGTTTGCCATTGCTTTCTGGACGGTCGGCTTCTCGATACCACTGTCGAAACCAAGCAAGGTGCATGGCCCGCAGCATTATGAAGCCCACTCACAATGCCTAAGCCACAGACCGACAGCGATGAAGTACATTTTTACTGATTAGCTATCAATAATTATAGTTTCATAGCTTTTCCTGTTTATATATAAATTAATTTGTTTTTTTAATGGATGGTTCAACAGGAGTAAAGCTGCCTGACATCCAGGGTACTCCTCCAGCTATTGTAGGAGGGATGCCAGTGGGGGGAGGGATCAGTCCGCAGCCTGCCTTCATATATCGGGGTGTCTGGATTCCACTGATCACAAGCATTCCTCAAGGACAAGTCAAGGCTGGATTGTAAGTTAACGATGCTGATTTGTTATCTGTGTGCTAGATCAGCTGTCTGCAGCCCTGGATGTTCAAACCTAAACTTTCATTCATTTGTGTGCTCAGTCAGCCATCTCCAGCCTTGGATGTTCATACCTAAACTTTCATTCATCTATGTGCTAGATCAGCCATCTCCAGCTCTGGATGTTCATACCTAAACTTTCATTCATTTGTGTGCTCAGTCAGCCATCTCCAGCCCTGAATGTTCATACCTAAACTTTCATTCATCTGTGTGCTAGATCAGCCATCTCCAGCTCTAGATGTTCATACCTAAACTTTCATTCATCTGTGTGCTAGATCAGCTGTCTGTGACCCTGGATGTGCACACCTAAACTTTCATTCATCTGTGTACTAGAACAGCCATCTCCAGCCCTGTATGTTCATACCTAAACTTTCATTCATCTGTGTGCTAGATTAGCTGTCTGTGACCCTGGATATTCATACTTACTTTCAATTATATGTGTGCTAGATCAGCTGCCTGTGACCCTGGATGCTCATACCTAAACTTTCATTCATCTGTGTGCTAGATCAACCGTCTGTGAACCCTGGATGTTTATACCTAAACTTTCATTTATCTGTGTGCTAGATCAGCTATCTGTGACCCTGGATGTTTATACCAAATGTACAAGGTGTTTGAAATAATGGTGTATGTCAAATGTACAATGTGTTTGAATCAATGCTTATGTCAAATGTACAATGTGTTTGAATTAATGGTGTATGTCAAATGTACAATGTGTTTGAATCAATGCTTATGTCAAATGTACAAGGTGTTTGAATTGTGGTATCTGCCAATTGTACTAATTGTTTGAATTGTGGTGTGTGCCAAATGTGCCAAATGTACAAGGTGTTTGAATTAATGGTGTATGCCAAATATACAAGGTGTTTGAATTGTGGTATCTGCCAATTGTACTAATTGTTTGAATTGTGGTGTATGTCAAATGTACAAGGTGTTTGAATTAATGCTGTGTGGCAAATGTACAAGGTGTTTGAATTGTGGTATCTGCCAAATGTACTAATTGTTTGAATTGTGGTGTGTGCCAAATGTACAAGGTGTTTGAATTAATGGTGTATGCCAAATATACAAGGTGTTTGAATTGAGATAAATTCCAGATATAGACAATGTTTGAATTGTAGTGGATTTCTTCAGTACATGTTAGCTTGTTGATTTGTTAAAGCCTGGAGCTGCTGGACAAGATTGAACCACCTGTAGTCCCCGATGGATATGGGGTATCATTGGCCTTTCGTTGTCTGATGGAGCTAACAAAGACTGTCAATACTCTGGTCATGGGAGAGGGAACAGATGGAGAAGCTGGAAAGAAATCAAAGAGAGAAGTTGATGTAACAGAGAAATGTAAGTTACTTTGCATTTTTATTTTTTGTGAGTTAGCTGCTATACGAAATTGCACACAATGGCATCAAATAAAATGGTTTTGGTAATTCGAGAGAATGTCTTGTGATGCCATTCCATACAAGTTATGCACTAAAAGCAAAAGGAGAGGGGCTTAGAGCACAAGGTAGTGTCAGTCTGTCTCAGGGACTGTCTCATCAGATGAGCAATGCTATGTCACAACAGCCTCACTTCTTAAGTATAACTGTAGTTTTAACAGTACAGCAATAGAAGATTTGGTTCCTGGAAGATAAAGCAGGGCCTACTCAAGGTAACCTGAAGTGAAACAAACAGATAATCACCAGACAGGATCCTTGGAAGTCGGAGGGCATCTGCCTGAGAGGCAAGGGACCAGCCATGTAACACTTAGGTTCTGGAACAGACTAGAGTCCAGAAGTTGACAAATAACCAGAACTTTTTGCTGCAGTTTTTCAGCCGGTGAACACGAATAAGAAGAAACTTCAATGAGAAACAAATGGACTGAGGAAACAAGTACCTCCAGAAGCACCCCACATGAAAAATATTGAGGACCGAAGTCAAAGACGTAGGACAGCTGTTCATCCGTGGTATTGGCAGTTGCACAGGATAGAGTGGATGTCACAACCCTGTGAGTACAGTCAGAGGCGGAATGTACCACACCGTAAGGTGTGCGTGTTGAGGTGACACCCCAGGGTTGACACAAAGGTCAGGGCCGTGACTGGGCAAGTCCGTTCTGTGATTGCACAGCGAAACCAGCGCTCAGGATAAAGCAAGAAAGACTGAACTGTGTTGTGGACAAACCCGCAACACGATGACTGCTTTTGGGACTGAGCTGGTGAACGGTGTGCGTCGGTCAGGAAGAGAGGACGTTTAGGAAGACAGTTATAGTATTAAAGTTAGGATATATTTCTGTTAGTGACTGGATAGTTTATGTACAGTTTTGTTTTAGGATAGGATAGTTCTTGTGTAGAGTATTTATGTATATGTGCTGTGAGAGAGTGGCTAGCCTTGACACTCTGACCCTGCACTAAGACAGAGACTGTGACAGTTTGATTGGGTCAGTGTGGCGATAGAAAAGAACGTATCTCGCCGGGCTGTGGTTTGTACACCAGGAGGTTGCCTGTAGCACGTACTGGGGGACGAGGTGATTGTAAAGCCCGTTCAGCCAGAGGGTCCAGGCAATAGGTGGCCACACAGCGGGAAGTCAACTGTCTATGTATTACCTGTACTTCCAATAAAGATTGTCGTGTGTGCTCTGTGTGCGTTCGGGTTCAGTGTGTGTTAAAGGTTAGTCTGTCTGTCATAGGCCCAGTTACGAGCCACGGACCAGCAAGGTCACCCAGAGGTCTGTGACAGTGGAGGTTTGAGATTTGAACAACAGATGCGCATAATGCTTATCTCTGCTCCTTGATGCTAGGTAAGCACAGTGGGGGAAAAAGGGTTAATAAAGAACACCTCTCCCACAATAGGCACAGTGGGAATTAGTTAGTTAGTTGGGTTATCATCGTTGCACTCCAGACATGTCTATAGGTGCTCAGTTCCTCTACTCAGTATGAACCGCAGTGTCCAGTGGCTAGTACATTGAAAATATGAGACAGGACCCATATTTTTTTAAATAGACCAAATGGCACATTATGAATGATATGGTCAACATTATGAACACTACCTTTACTTCCCCAGGATATTTCTTAGTACCCATTTTAGGCTGGGTCAACCTATTTGCTCAGGCCATTTATAAAAATCCTGGTGGTATAAATTTGAATCCAAGATTTTAGTCTTGCAGGCAAGCCTCTAGTGCTACCACAGATTGGTTTCTTGTCTTATTCCCTACTCATTCACTTTGGTATGCAGTGAGTTAAGACCAGGATGGTTTAATGTCTGACCTTCGGTGCTTCAGCTGCTTGGTTTACTTAATAAACCATCTATCCCCAGAGATGGTTTAACTGTCTGATCTTAGGGTTTGCAACAGTTTGGTTTAACTATCTATCCCTAGAGAAGGATTCAATTGTCAGACCTTAGATGATGCAGCTATGGCGCGGTGATTTTGGTCACAGGTATAAGGGAAAGTTAAGGCCGTTGTGATGTGTATCAGGCGATCCTCTGTACCTCACCTCAGATGCCTGCAGGCTCTGAGCTAGTTCTTCTCATTCAAGACTCCTGCCACACGTTCTCATTGTGTACTATGGTTAATGGCTGACCTGTGCTACCTAAACCGAGGTGGCAGGGGGTCTCAGAGGTGGTGGCTTCCAGAGATCTAGTGTCAGTCTGGCTCTCATCAGCCCACCCCCAGTGCATGGGTGAAAACATCTAGTCTGTCAAAACTCATTCGGAACATGTGTAAAGCCAAAGCCAGTATATTACAAAAAGACAATTCACGGTTAAAAGATCTGTCGAGTGAAAGAACTACTGAACTGCTGAGACTCAGCCCTAGACCAAGAGATTGCTCGCAGCTTAGACGAGCAACATCTCCTGCAGGCGGTATTTCACAGTACAGTTCTGTCACTGTACATCCATTGTTGATCCTCATGTGTTGTCGTCAATGTTGAGGTACACCACAACATCCTGCCATTGTCAGTCATCTGGTTAGGCTCAAAAATCTGTCAGATACATGTCCTATGACATAACAGCATAGCCTTAAATGTCCAAACGTCAGAAGTCCTGCTGTTTGGCAGAAAGGTTTCAGTGTCTGTTACCCCTGCCCCACTTCTCCGGACCAAATAGGGGAAGTCATGCCTGATGTATGCTTTTTCCAAACTGTCGTGCTAAGTGTCCAGGTAAATCAACATTAAAGGTGTTTAACATATAGAAGAATGTACCTATACGTGTGATCATTGAAGACCCAGACATACTGGCCGCTCCCTGCTGATCTCTGGAGGATGCAGCCCATGACAAGTCGGAAGTTTAGCATGCGAATGTGAGATGAAGCATGTGCAGGACTTAGCGATTCCTTGGATGATCCCAGGACCGAAGTGCCTTGTGTGAGTTCTGCATGTATAGAAGCTCCCTTGAATGCCAGGGATTGCTCATAGTCTGCCCCTGCATTTTCTTGAGGGTCGACCACACACTCACACTTACAGGCACTTACACACGCAACGCACACATGCACTCTCTTTCTCTGTCTCTCTTTCTCTCGCTCTCTTTCTTTATCTCTCTCTCTCTCTTCTTTTCTTTCTTTCTTTCTTTCTCTCGGGCTCCGGAACCCACATGGGAAATCAAGTAACCTAACTGTACCTTTATATGAAAGATTGGTTCACAATTGTAACTATCTACCAGTGCTGAGGACTTTCACAACTTGCATAGGTATGTAGTTCATTTGTGAGATTGTATAAGCTGTTTCTTTCTTCCCGTGTTATGTTGGAGTTAGACACATTGTTGAATTTGGAGTTGGAAACATTTTTTGGATCATATAGATTCACTGAAGCTTTAGTCTATATCTGCACAAGACTGAAGGCTACTCAAGGCTTGTGTAGCTGTTATAGGTGCATAATTTATAACTTTCTTAGAGGCTGAATGGGGTATCTGGGATTTGTTCTGTTGGCTTGCCATCTAGGATGAGATTATTATAATCTCAGAGCGGTCAATCCTTTAGTGAGCAGCCTGGAGTGGGACAAACATTAGGTAGTTAGTCGACAGATTATCATTGCACATTGAAGCATTTAGTCCATAAGTCCTCGGATCCCCTCCTCAGTCAATCCTGCAGCATGTAGCAACGGACCAGTCACATTGTTGGTTTACTGGACCAGTCACATTGTTGGTTTACTGGACCAGTCACATTGTTGGTTTACTGGACCAGTCACATTGTTGGTTTACTGGACCAGTCACATTGTTGGTTTACTGGACCAGTCACATTGTTGGTTTACTGGACCAGTCACATTGTAGGTTTACTGGACCAGTCACATTGTTGGTTTACTGGACCAGTCACATTGTTGGTTTACTGGACCAGTCACATTGTTGGTTTACTGGACCAGTCACATTGTTAGTTTACTGGACCAGTCACATTGTTGGTTTACTGGACCAGTCACATTGTTGGTTTACTGGACCAGTCACATTGTTGGTTTACTGGACCAGTCACATTGTTGGTTTACTGGACCAGTCACATTGTTGGTTTACTGGACCAGTCACATTGTTGGTTTACTCGACCAGTCACATTGTTGGTTTACTGGACCAGTCACATTGTTGGTTTACTGGACCAGTCACATTGTTGGTTTACTGGACCAGTCACATTGTTGGTTTACTGGACCAGTCACATTGTTGGTTTACTGGACTATGTCATAAACAGATGTAAGCAAATTTCGGCTATCCTCCGAATAACGGTCCCAAATTATCGAGTCCGAAAATATACCCTAACAGGGCCTCAACCACATGTCAATTGCAAACTTCCGGGGACTATACCGCAACCGCCAAATTGCAGACTTCCGGGGACTATACCGCCACCGATGAGAGTACCCCCCACGCCGCTCATACGGCGTGGATTGGGGCGTAACTAGATGGCTGGGACTCACGAGCAAATAAAATAAAGGAAGCTGCAGGAGATGTGGTAGCTGCTGCTCATGAGTCCTAGCCATCTAGTTTAGCCCCAATCCACGCCGAGGTCCATAATTGACACATGACTGAGGCCCTGTTAGGGTACATTTTTGGCCTTGATAATTTGGGACCGTTTTTCAGAGGATGCCCAAATTTCTCATCTGTATTACTTAACAAAGCACAGGATTAATTTTCGAAGAAACCAAAATTGCAGAAATACATACAAGCCATTCAGATGTGAGGATAAGCAAACGTTTCATTTGGGGATAGGTTTTATTGTTTCTTTTCATCTTTCTTTTGTTGTGGTTCCAGGTTATATTTTGATTTCATTGGTACCAGTGACACAGTGGTTAGTTGAAAGTAAAAGATCCTTTTATACTAGTGGCGCATGCAGAAGATGATGTTAGATTCATAGTTTTTAAATAAACCAATCAACAACACTCTGTGGGCAATGTTGTTAGAATTGTGCTGACCACACTTACTTCCCAGGAAATTACCTAGTATCCATTATAGGTTAAGTAGACCTGGGAACCACATTTCATTAAAAAAAATCCCCCATAATGTAGATTCAAACCCAAGGTCTTCGGGCTAGCAGGTGAGTGTCTAGCCTCTACGTCACCACAGCTCCCTGTAAGTACTTATGTACCAACATTTGGTTGGAACTTCCTTTTTTTGGGTAATGTTCTATGAATCGGTATTAGCTTTTCTTGATTTTGTTGAGTTGTTTTGAATTACTGTTGAAGTAGCTATGTGTATGCTGTCAGGTTATTATAGTTTGGCATTTGCATATTTGGTCTGTGTATTACTGAGGTCTTTAAGCGATGCAGAGAATAGAAACATTGTGAATTTAAATATGGGTTAAAAGTTATTAGTGTATCCTTTACAGGGTGTTGCAGAACCAACCCCATCATTTTGTTTGGGCTGTTGTGCTTTCGCTACACCTTGGCCACAGACCAGTCTGTAGTTTCCCACTCCTTTCTGAATGAATGGTTAGCTCTCGGTGCTACTCAATTCAAGACAAACCGTCTGCAGCTGGGATCGAACCCGGCATTACGAAGTGCTTTCGCTACATCTTAGCCACAGTCGCCAACCATAGGATTACAAATAAATATATTGCACAATTTATTATAAACAATGCAGTATATTTCTTTGCTTCATCATTTAAAAAAAAATGTTGAAACTGTTTAGCAGACCATATCTAGTTACTTCTGATTGTGACACATTCCCTATAAAGCTAATGTATTGGCGTTGCCGCAATGACCTGTTCTTAAAGGGTGCAGTTAAATTCCGGAGGACCCCGTGTGGGTTCCAGGGCCCCATTATAGGGAAAACAAGAATAGACCCACTGCCTACCCAAAAGCATGTTGTAAGAGTCGACTAATTGGGAGCTTCCTTCGAAGTTGGAGTTCATCTGCCTGAGAGGCAAGGAACCAGCAGGATGCATACAAATGAGTCAGATCTGTAAAACGGATGCACACACAAACTCAGGTTCTGGAACAGGACTGCCGTCCGGAAGTGAATGAACAACCAGAACTTTCCGCCGGAGTTTACAGCTGATGAACGTGAAGAAGAAGAAGAAGAATTCTGTAGGTTCTGTGTGCAAATGCACAGTGTTTAGGAAGCCTGGATATGAAAATATTAACTGAAAATTGCGTTTGGAAAGTGGAGTGGGAAGGAAGGGCATTGCTATGACCCCAGTGGCTTTTCAAAATCCATTTTAACATCACATTTTCCCATATGCCTCAGTGGTGGGGGTTATGTGATCACAAAATGAGTCACCAAATACATATTTGTTTTAATCCCCTAGGGAATGTATCTCATTTAATTTCTCACCGTGTTTAGGTTGATTGATTACTCCATTTTTATATATATATCAGCATTACGCCAGCTGTCTTTACTTAGCCAGGACATACATCCTGGTACCCACTTTAGGCTCGGTCAGTTACAAGAAAATATGGAACGCTTCACGAATGTGCATGTCATCCTTGCGCAGGGCCATACTAATCTTCTCTGTATAGTTCCAGTTTTAGTTTATGTACTGTGTGAACAGTACAATGTACCCGGTGGAGGAAATAAAACTAAATTGTAGAGTTGCTGAAGCTTAGCAGGAGAACTAAACAAATCCAAGTGATCAAAATGCACGAAAAAAATGATGGGACTGGATTAGACACACATTTAGGAGGTCGACCCAGCCTAAAATGGGTACCAGGATGGGCTGTCCTGGGAAAGTAAAGACAGCCGGCGTAATGCTGACCACATTACCCACAGAGTGCTGATGGTCTGTAAAAATATGGGACGCTCTGCCCATATGCCCGATGCGCCGAAAGGCGTGAAAAGGGAACTTTACTTAACTTTAATAGTAATGTAGCAATGTCTTTTCATTGGAATCCAAATGACAAAAGAAATAGAGGGAGTCCCAAAAACACACAAAAAGAGAATTTGAGACATGGATGATTATACAGAGGGCAGTGGAGGCAGCTGCAAAAGATTAAGTAAGATAGGATGCCTTGGTGGATGTTGGTTGATGGCTTGTGCTTCAGTTTGGGATACAGAGCAGAAGAATAGAAACATGCACAAGTCTTCCTTTTGTAGGTTTATCCTTGAAAACGCTTCCTATATTAGGCAACAACATCCTTGAGTTCTTCAGTGTTCTCGTCATCCACAGACTAATTCACACTGAGTCCTTTAGTCAAAGGCTGGGTGTTGCACCTCTAAGGATATTGATGAGTCTCTGATGTAACGTGATTGCATGACCTTGGAGTGAAGTCTGGTGATACCTGTAGGTGCTGTCTTTGAGGTCAAGATAGGAGATATAACCAACTTCTCATGGAAAGAGTTTGTAGAGTTACCACCTCGGAATGGCTGCTGCAATGGTGGACTAAATGTGCATGGGAACGCTCTATTTGCAGTGACCTAAATTATTGTAACATAACTTCTAAGCTATTCTTCGACCATTTAGGCTCATTTGGTTTCAATCAGCGCATTTTTATAATAAACTCATTTTCATGAATCCCAGACATTACACAGTATATTCTGTTACTTTTTTGAATTTGGTCGCATAATATCAAAGAAATCTGGCATTCCAATTTGCATCTTTAAAAGTTTTTTTAAAAAACTTGTGACTTGTCACAGTGGTTATTTATCTCCTTCAGTCCCAAGGAATGCATCGTACATTCATAGCTTCCTACTTAGAAACCCAGTAACTGCCAGATGTGCTGCTTATGTGTCTCTCTGTACCACCCCTTGGGCCTCTGATGCTAAACCTCCTGGGGCTGAAAGAGTTAAGCAACTGCTGTGGAAAGTTCTGGAACTGAAAGAGCTAACAGCCTCATTGATTCATATTTGTTGAGGACTCTGTTCTCTTTCTCCAACAGCACTGATGAGACGGCAACAGAGATGATCCTGAAAGCCCAGCAACTGTATGCCAACATGTGTGGCCACCTCAACATGAGCACTCCCAGGGATGCCTTCATCACGGCCCTGTGTAAAGCCTCACTGCCGCCCCACTACACGTTAACGGTTCTCAACATGCATGTGGGAGGGGGATCTTTTGGTGGCACACAGCAGAAAGGTACAGCTGTATGTTGTTCCTGATGCTGTATGTTGTTCCTGATGCTGTATGTTGTTCCTGATGCTGTATGTTGTTCCTGATGCTGTATGTTGTTCCTGATGCTGTATGTTGTTCCTGATGCTGTATGTTGTTCCTGATGTTGTATGTTGTTCCTGATGCTGTATGTTGTTCCTGATGCTGTATGTTGTTTTCCTGATGTTGTGACTTCTTTTAAACCCCTTCACATCATTATAGGCTATGAGTGTGTCATATTGTCATTCACATTTTGCTACCTGTTAGCCTCTTCATGGCCATCATTGCAAGCTAATTTATATGATGAGGATATCCTGTTCTATCCTGGCTTACAATCATCATCATGTGCCTTGCCAGATGACAAAGATCAGGGCAGTTCAACTGGTGGCCCACGGGTCGAATCTAGCAAGAGACCTGGCAAGTGGCCCACGGGTCGAATCAGGCAAGAGACCTAGCAAGTTGCCTGCTGGGCGAATCCCACCAGTGACCTAGCTGTGAACTTGGCAAGAGACCTAGCAAGTGGCCCATGGATCATTGCCATCTGTATTAAATTAATCATCTTTCTGCGCTGAGGCTTAGGGCTATCATCCATTACGGTCCTCACTTTCAACATTTTGGCCACTGAGTGATCTTAGCTAAATGACCCTGACAAAGGTGATGCTGTCTCTTGCATAAACCTCAGTCCTGGTTGTTCTGGAACAATTATTTTGTGATGTTCCTACATGCACCATCTTAGGTCATCCAGTATAATTTATATGTTTGCCTGCCATGCCAGGGCTCATCGGTTTGAATCCTCATCAAGGCAGATTAGACCTGGGCTGTCATGTTATCCCAGAAAGTTATGATTCCAGAAAATGTCCTGATAAAGCGAGGGACCTGGCAGGATACTGACCACTTTGGTCATTTAAATTATGGAGAAAGCTCCTTATTCCAATGCAGGGAAATGGGACATTTTCCTGTTTCTACTCATGTTGTCTAAGGTATTCAACATCTCTGCTCAAGAAGCCATGTGTCCACTGCTGCAAGTTCTTATGGGGGGGAGGGGGGGGGGGGTTATGAGTGCAATTTTTATGGAAATCCCATGGGATTGTCACCATAGCTACAGAGTTCATTTTTTGTGCGATGCTGTCGGCAGGCGGCTAGCTGTTCTGCCAAGAGAGACCGAACCATATGGATTAAAACCTGGAGCAGTGAAACTGATCCTTTGAACTTTAAATTCAACTTCATCCATTAAAATGTGACACCTAGCAACACAAAGCAGGTATTGACAAAACAAGTAGAAAAAGAAGTGTATAAATACAATTAAGAAGAAACACACATCTTGTTGTTTCCACAGTGTTGAGTCGTTCCGCCAGTCAGGAGATCTCCAGCTCAGGAGAGCAGATTGAGAGGAGCCAAGTTGTTGCAGTTGGTACCGCCCTGTCAACTGCTTCCCTGCCTGCAGGCTCACATCAAAGCCAAGTTGTGGTGGGTGCTATCTATACATATTCTTACATTCATCATCATCATCATCATCTTATAGCACCATGTTTCAGAGGGTCACCACTTGCTGCTGACTATGTGACAGTCTCGTCATCTCTGTCACTTGGATGCAGTGGACTTGATATTTGCATGTATTAAGCCTGTCCATTCAGCCACATTCTATGTTCAGGTCTTTCTTGGTCTGTTTCTTCTTATTTTCCCCTCTACAGAGCCCTGATGTGTCATTTTAAAGTGGCCGGTAGCTCCCGTTAAATATCCATAACATTGCATTTTCTATCTTTTCACTGCTGTTAATAGAGGTTCATTGTTGCTAATGTGTTGAGTGTTAATATGATGAATTTCATCATTTGTTTTGTGGTTTGTGTTAAACTTATTTTTGAACTGCCATAGATGCTTCTTCAAAATGTGATGCTGAAATGCAGAACAGGACTAGGAAAAAATGAAGATGAAGAAGAAGAAGAGGAAATAGAAAAAGAAGAAGAAGGAAAAAGAAGAAGCAGAAGCAGAAGAAAGAAAGAAAGAAAGAAAAAAAGAAAGAAAGAAAGAAAGAAAGAAAGAAAGAAAGAAAGAAAGAAAGAAAGAAAGAAAGAAAGAAAGAAAGAAAGAAGGAAAGAAGGAAAGAAGGAAAGAAAGAAAGAAAGAAAGAAAGAAAGAAAGAAAGAAAGAAAGAAAGAAAGAAAGAAAGAAAGAAAGAAAGAAAGAAAGAAAGAAAGAAAGAAAAGAAGACAGACAGACAGACAGACAGGCAGGCAGGCAGGCAGGCAGGCAGGCAGACAGACAGACAGACAGACAGACAGACAGACAGACAGACAGACAGACAGACAGACAGACAGACAGACAGACAGACAGACAGACAGACAGACAGACAGACAGACAGACAGAAAAAGAAGTTGCAGGCACTGTAACATTACTTATTTCTTGACCATTTCTTTGGAAAGTCTCCTAGTGGCTCCCAGGGTCTTAATGTGGAGGGTGGGGAAGAACAGTGGACCCACACCACCCCCCCCCCCCCCTTTACAAGCATGTGGAAAAAAGTGACTTATTAAGTGTTAACTGAAATTGGACATGTTGGGTCAGTATGTACAGATATCACAGCCTGGCTGTAAACCACAACTGGCCAACCATCCTTTTAAGGGAAAATTCATAAAAGAAGGAAATTGGGAAAAATTGTATTTACTAATGGCAGGGGACATGAAACACCAGGGCTGTTTATGTAAATGTTGATCAACCCCTGCTGCTCATGACTCACATGACTCACTTATCTCTACCCCCGTGTGGGTTCCGGGGCCCCTTTGTGGGGAAAACAAGAATAGACCCACTGCCTCCCCAAAAGCATGTCGTAAGAGTCGACTAACTGGGGAGTTTCCTTTGAAGTCGCAGTGCATCTGCCTGAGAGGCAAGGAACCAGCAGTCTGCATTCAATTGAATCAGATCTGTAAAACTGATGCACATGCAACACTCAGGTTCTGGAGCAGGACTGCAATTCAGTAGTGGACGAACAACCAGAACTTTACGCCAGAGTGTACAGCTGGTGAACACAAAGAAGAAAGAAGAACTTATCTCTGACCCAGCCCTCTTCTGCAGGCAATATAACGCATACCCTGCTCATGCCTTGAATACCACTCTTTGAGAAATCACCTTACACCCCGCCCCAACCCACCCCTAAGACCCCGAAAAACAGATCACTTCTTTTCCAAGGCAAATTCTACCGATGCAAATCCCCCTTAAGAACTTTCTCCCATACAATAGGAACCCTCCTAAAACTCAAAATGCTACCTTCCTTGTATAAATGTAAATGCGCTTTTTTTTCAGGCGTCGCATACATACAATTATTCCAACAAACGGCAATGCTTTGTAAGGAAAACTAAAACACACACACATGTACAAAAGGCAACATATGTATAGTACACGTACAATACAGAAACCACGCAGCCCTCTATACAGACCCATTTATTACACTCAATAAAATTGATTTCAGACTTAAAAACAAAAACAAACCAAAACAAAAACAAGGGTTATTTTAGCTGACAGCTAACTTAAAACATTTGAAAGTTTTGTAAAGCATAACAGCGTAATATGGAATCTGAAGAATAAAAAAAAAAAAAATTCATGTTAAAAATGTTGGCTTTTCTTAAACTTCACCAGCTGATATCCATTTTCTCTGAATAGAAATACATTTTAATGTTGAATTATCTCCATCACAAAACTAATTTTCATGTCCGAATATTTTGTGTGTGTTAAATAACAGCAAACACATTCTTGACAAAACTGCATCTACAGTAATCTTTAAAGGCAGTTTGTTTGTTGTTGCTGTTGTTTTTTCTGAAGTGCGATCAGTGCAAGCTGTGGATTGTTTTGTCTCTCATGTTTCTTTCTTGTAGCTCCATAGCTCTTTGCTTGCATGCCGACAGATATCACAGGTATCGATTTAATAATCTGATCATCGTGTTTAGGATGCAATTTTTTGTTATTTGAAGCCCCACCCTGGCTCATGCCAGGGGTTGCAATATTTAGCCCGGCCATAAACATGACCTAATGGCTGAACGCGGTTTATGGGACCTTTCCACGGTGATCCTCATACACATTGTGTCATCGGGTGTTTATCGCTTATCGGTAGAAAGTCAGTCAGTTGTCAGATATCACAGGTTTAAAGCTCCATCAGGGCTGATATTCTTCTAATTCCTGTGATCACCTGATTGATTTTTACTGACGGATGCAAATTTTTGTTTATGTTGACTGATTTTTTTAAACCAGTTTTCTAGTTCCATGCAGCTTTTAGTTAGATGTTGCTCACTGGTGACAGGATTTCTTTTTTTTTAATCTTGTCGCCCACAAAAAGCTGGTTTCCCCCAGGTATTTACGGGTTTTTTAAATGATGTGACAGCTACAGCTGAAAATCCAGAAGGGAAAGATATAATGAGAATAAATCAGGCAAATAATAATGTGGTTTCTCTTAATGGTATCTCATCCTAAGATGTGGAGTCGTACACCTATTTGGGCAGTAATGAAGCTTATGATAGGGGAACTAATAGAGATATTAAAATCTGAACATAAAAGGCAAGAAGAGCTTTCATAGCACTAGGGAATTTGTAGAGGGGAAAAGAAATTAAAACTAATACTAAACATAAATTGTGATTTCTAATGTCAGACCAGTACTATTGTATTGAGCGGAAACAACGGAGAACAGCTAAGGCAGTAGTGAATAAACTGTAAACATTTATTAACTTGTTTCTGCCAGAATAGAGGGAATTCAATGGTATGATAGAATCACTGATGTAGAGCTTTGGGAGATAATTAACAAGTTCCAGTGGATCCAGAAGGGAAGAAAAGATGTTAGCAATGGATAGGACACACTTTAAGAAAACCTTAGAACAGTATAATTAGAATATCTTTGCACTGGAACCCACAGGGGCATAGAAATAAAGGAAGACCTAAAAACACCTGGAAGATGGAGCTAGAGAGTGAAGTTAAAAAGTTTGGGAGGACATGGGGAAAGCTGCTTGCGAAGGATAGAATGACTTGGCAGGAGTTGGTTGAGGGCCTATGCTTCATTAGATGTTAGAAAGGCAGAAGAGGAAGAAGAATGATGTGAAGTTAAAGTCTTTGGGCAGTGGACACTGTACCCATATGGAAGTTTTAGTATTGGTTGCAGCTGAGTTGAGTTGAGTCAAGAATTGACATCACAGCACTCGGGGTATTCCCATGCATGCTCCGTCCTCATCTTCAGCAGCCAGCGCAGAGTTCCAATACTGATGGTTGGTTGCAACTGAGAAGTGTGTAGACATGGTGGGTATGGTTATCGGATGGGGAAAAAACAGTAGTACCTTGGAGTGGCTGCTGCATCTGAGCACGCATGGGGAAGCCCAATATGCAAAGATGTCGGTTGTGATAACATAACATTACATAACATATTTACCCCCAAAGCGTTGGATAATTTTTGGGAAGAAAAAATCCCCATTCTTTAAAATTATGATTTTATCGTTAACCTCAAAAAGATAATCTAGTCCCCAAGGGGTTAAATCAACGAAGCCACTTTTATCTTTGATGCATTTGTATTTAGTGATTAATTCTGTTACTAGAAAATAATGTACTCATAAAAGTGAATAAAATAAGTTATTATGAAATATTTTAGTGATTTGACAGCTGTGATGTCGCAGTGGCCATCAGACTTGCCTGTCTGCTCAGCAGTCATAGGTTTCAATCCTTAATTGAATAGTATAGTGAAGGGTATGACGACTTGGTATGAGTTGGTTGAGGGTCTATGCTCTGTCAGTGGATCAAGGGCCGCAGAAGAAGACAAGTGTCTAGCCACTGCACTACTGTAGCTTTCCATGTATGCTTGAGAGGTCATCAAAATTTCTAAATATAATGGGTATAACTAGTTTCTTTAGGAAAAGGCAATTGTAGTAACTGGAATTTAAAAAAAAATGTGACCACATGATCACTGGCATCCTCATCATCTTGATGTCTTATGCAGAATACCACTGTTATCACAGCACACTGTAATCTATAATAACCTATATTGTTATGCAGGTGTGAATTATGGACAGTAAATTAGTGAAAACCTATTTGGAAGCTGCAGAGATGTGGTTTTATAGATGAGTTATGAGAATACCCTGGACAGATAAAAGGGTAATGAAGATGTCTTGAAAGAAATTGGCGCATGAAGAGAATTGATTGCACACATCAGAAAGAGACAATCTATATTCTTTGGTCATGTGATGAGAAGAAGAATACTGGAGTACATTGTGATGGTAAGGAAAGTTGGAGGGGAGGAGAGGCAGAGGGAGACTGAGAGAACAGATGCTGGACAGTTTGACATCATAGCATGAAAGATCATCTGTGTCAGAGTTGACGGAGAGTACACGAGAAAAGGTTGTGGATAAAATGACTACCAACGCCATAGACTTTAAGAAAAAAGAATATATATATATATATCTTTCCCATGTGGGTCCCTGGGTCCCATTGTGGGGAAAAACAAGAGTAGACCAACAGCCTTCCCAACAAGCATGTCGTAAGAGCCGACTGATTATGGGCTTCCTTCAAAGTTGGAGTGCACCTGCCTAAGAGGCAGGGAACCAGCAGTCTGCATATGGATAAGACAGATATGTAAAACAGATGTGCACGCAACATTCAAGTTATGGAGCAAGACTAAAATCCAGAGTTGGACGAACAAGCAGAACTTTCCCCAGAGTTTACAGCCGGGGAATGCGAAAAAGGATATATATATATATTTAAATATATATATATATATATAAATAATATAAATATATATATATATATATATATATATATATATATATATATATATATATATATATATATATATATATATATATATATATATATATATATATATATAAATAAATATAAATATTATATATATATATATATATATATATATATATATATATATATATATATATATATATATATATATATATATATATATATATATATATATTATATATATATCTTTATATATATATGTGGCTAAATTCAATATGTTTCAGCTGACAGCCAAAAACATCCAGGTGATGCGAGCACTGCTGAGTTTGGCCCACTGCCATGGGGACATCCTGGGAACTGCTTGGCACCTGGTTCTAACTACATTACAGGTATGTATATACTTTCTGCTTATTGAAATGCTTCAGTGCTGTGGTGTCAGTTCTTAACGTAGGTGTCTTAAAATATAAAATTAGTATGTACTCTGTAATAAGTATGGTTCACATAATTTCTTGACACTCCTGGGTTTAATGATTTTTTTAGATAATAACTTTTTTCTTGGTTTTTAATTGATGTCATAGTACTCCAGATTTCCCATGTCGGTTGCGGGACCCCATTGTGGGGGAAAACAAGAATGGACCCACTGCCTCCCCAGCACGCATGTCGTAGGAGTCAACTGATTGGGGGTTTCCTTCAGAGTCGGAGAACATCTGCCAAGAGTCTGCATATAAATAAGCCAGATGTGTGAAACAGATGCGCAGGCAACACTCAGGTTCTGAAACAAAACCAAAGCCCGAAGGTGGACCGGCACCTAGAACTTTCTGCCTAAGTCAACAGCTGATGAACGTGATGAAGTAGCAGAGGAAGACAGCACACCAGATGAGTCCACTGTTGCTCTGTCTCTTGCAGCAAATGTCATGAAGGTGTGAGTGCTGATTAGTGCAGTAACACACTGCTTGTAAAAAAAAAAAAGTATGGTGGGATATCTTAAACCATTTCAGTTTTTATCTTAGACTATTCCAGTTTTTATCTTAGGCCATTCCAGTTTTTATCTTAGACTATTCCAGTTTTTATCTCAGACTATTCCAGTTTTTATCTTAGACCATTTCAGTTTTTATCTTAGACTATTCCAGTTTTTATCTTAGACCATTCCAGTATTTATCTTAGACTATTCCAGTTTTTATCTTAGACCATTCCAGTTTTTATCTTAGACTATTCCAGTTTTTATCTTAGACCATTCCAGTATTTATCTTAGACCATTCCAGTTTTTATCTTAGACCATTCCAGTTTTAATCCTAGACCATTCCAGTTTTTTTTTTTTACAGAAAACAGCAACCATCCCCAACAGTCTTTTATTGTCTATAGTTTTGCTACAGAAAGTTTATGATCAGTGGTGTAACAGTGCTTTCTGAATGCTTGTACCTTTTGTTGAAATCAATGCAAAATGGTCTGCTGTCGAATCTTCTGCATCTGAATCAAACTCTGGATCTGTATTCTTCTTCTTCTTCTTCACCTTCACCAGCTGTACACTTCAGTGGAAGGTTCTTGTTGTTTATCCACTTCTGGACTTTCGTCTTTTTCCAGAACTGGCCTTTTGTGTGCACATCTGGTTTACAGATTTGGCTTATTTATATGCAGACTGTTGTTTTTCTCACCTCTCAGGCAAAAGCACTCCAACTTTGAAAAAAAAAAAACCCCTTATTAGTCTCCCTTTATGACATGCTTGTTAGAGGTCAGTGGGTTTGTTATGTTTGCCCCACAGTGGGGCCCCGGATCCCACACTTGGAGGTTTCAGTTATGAAAGTCCATGTGTGTTCTGGGACCCCTTTTGAGGAGAAAAATAAAAAATCCATTGCCTGTTAACAAGTAAGTCTTAAAAGGCGACTTGTTAAGTGTTTGCTGAAAAACAAATGCATTGGACCAAAAGGCACAGATATTGCAGCTTAGCTGTAAACCGCAACACAGTATGCTAACCACTTTATAAAGGGTGAACTAGGAAGAATAATAAACATGAAACGGTTTTTCTAACCCTTAAGCCAAAGATGCAACTTCTAAGTTAAGTGCACGGCGTGACACTGTGAGCTATGTGTGTTTTTCATTGGCCCAGGAGTGGAGCAACTATGGGGTGACCCGTTTGCTATGAAGCTGAAACTAGGATTACCAGATTGCTACTGATTTCTAAGTGTGACGAAGAAGAAGCAGAAGAATTCTAAAACTGTTTTCATAACCGTTAAGCCATAGACATAGAGATTAGATAGCTACTGATTGCAGACACTGAGGATTTTCCCAGGCTGCCCTGTATTGAAGATTTCACTGATCTTGCTCTGCTAGCACCTTGTGTGGATCCTGGGTCTGAAGCCATCTGCAGGCGGAAGTCTCCGAGCTGGCCAACAGATAAGTGATGGCAGCTCCAGCATCATCACCACCGCTGTCATGGCTGATCTGCCTGTGCTGTCGGCCATGCTGTCTCGACTCTTTGAAAGTTCACAGTGAGTAACATATTTCTTTGTTATGGTAATCTGTGTGATGGTGATGTGTGTCTTTGTGTAGGCTCATAGTGTTTGAGTGGAGGTGTGTGAGCGGTCATAGTGTATGTGTGTGTGTGTGTGTGTGTGTGTGTGGGTGGTGGGTGGGGTGTGTGTGTGTGTGTGTGGTCATAGTCTGTGGGGGAGGGGGGGTGTAGTTATATTTTGTGGAGTGGTAAGCGTGTAGTCGTAGAGTCATTGTGTGGTGTCTGAGTATGTAATCATAGAATGTATGTTTGTGGTCATACTGTTTTTGCCAAATGGTGTGTGGTTTAAGTGTGTGTGTTGTCATAGTTGGTATTTGTGGTACAGGTGTTTTGTGTATGTGTATGTGTGTGTGGTCATAGTGGGCGTGGTATATGTGTAGTATCATAACATGTGTGGTGGAAGTGTTTGTGTGTGTCATTTGTGGAGATAAGTGGTCACAGTGTGTGTGATGGAAGCTTATATATAAAGTAGAAAAATATGTGAATGAATGGCTGGGTAAACATTTCCATTGTATACAAGCGGCTAGTTGAACTGCCCAATTGTGTACAAACAGCTAGTTGAACTTTCCCATTGTATACAACTATCTGGGTGAGCTTTCCCATTGTATACAACTATCTGGGTGAACTTTCCCATTGTATACAAGTGGCTAGTCAAACTTTCCCATTGTATACAACTATCTGGGTGAGCTTTCCCATTGTATACAACTATCTGGGTGAGCTTTCCCATTGTATACAAGTGGCTAGTCGAACTTTCCCATTGTATACAAGTGGCTAGTCGAACTTTCCCATTGTATACAAGTGGCTAGTCAAACTTTCCCATTGTATACAAGTGGCTAGTCGAACTTTCCCATTGTATACAAGTGGCTAGTCGAACTTTCCCATTGTATACAAGTGGCTAGTCGAACTTTCCCATTGTATACAAGTGGCTAGTCGAACTTTCCCATTGTATACAAGTGGCTAGGTGAGCTTTTTTATTCTATACAAATGACTACGTGAGCTTTTCTATTTTATAGAAGTGACTGGGTGAACTTTTCCATTGTATACAAGTGGCTGGCTGAATTTTCTCACTGTGTGTGAGTTGCTGGGTCTTGATGCCGATTTCCTGACCAGTATTAATTAAACTGAGTGATTGAAAAATTGAATGGAGAGCAAACATTTCAAAGTCTCAATCAACTAGAGGAATTGTGGTGTTTTTGGACCGCTATTATTCTATGCACAGAGTGCAGTAATGAGAGAGAGAGAGAGGGGAGAGAGAGAGAGAGAGAGAAAGAGGTGGGGGGGGGGCTGAGTAGCAGTCATAAGGGGAATTGGGTGCATGTGTTGTTACATGAATTATTGGATGTGTGTGTTTGTGTGCCTGTTTGTATGTGGTTGAATGGGTAGAATTATGAGAAAGAGAGATTAGCACACCTGAGAGAAATATAGAAAAAAGACAGAATAATAAATAGGTCGAAAATATAATGTGATAGGTAGAAAGAAAAAGAGAGATACTGAAAAGAGGGTAAAAAAAGATTTAGAGAAAGAGAGCCACATAAACGAGAGATAGAGAAAGAAAATAAGAGAGTACCAAAGCAAAATATTTGGAGCCAGAGCAAGATAGAGAAATGGGCAAACAGACAGTGAGAAACAACAAGGGATTGAGAGGGAGAAAAAGACCAAGAAAAATAGAATGTTAGGACACTCTTTTTGGATGCTAATGGACTTCATCATAAAATTAAAAATGATAAATGAGCTAATTTTCAGTGCTGTCCCACTCCAGTAATTGGAATATTAACAAATAACAGCATGATGTTCACATGAAATCTTCAACAATGCAAGTTGCGCATTGTGTTCAGAAATAACACCAAGATTATAGGGCTGGTTATTGAACATGTCAGCATAGTGTCAGAACTGTTTGTAGTTAATAGCTAGTGCTCTTTGATGATTTAAAGGTTCTTGTCAGTGTTTTAGGAGTTGAGGTAAACTACAGTTACCTTCCTCCTCCTTCCTGTCATCACCAATCAGTCAGTCAGTCAAGTCAGTCAATCAACCAACTGTCAGTCAGTCAGTGAACTGATAAATAGCATCTTCTTAATCTTCATCTAAACAAAAAATAAAATCATCTGCCTTCATGTTCACAGTAAAAACTCTTCACTGTCAGTCATCATCATGTGTCAGCATCTGAAGTCATCATCACAATAAAACACATCATCATCATCCTTATCTCTTTCCATAGATCTTTCCAGTTGTCATAGACCAGGGCTTCTTGTGTGGGTTCTGGGGCCATAATATAGGGAAAACAAAAATAGACTCACTGCCTGCCCTAAAGCATGTCGTAAGAGTCGACTAATTGAGAGCTTCCTTCAAAGTCAGAGTGAATCTGCCTGAGAGGCAAGGAACCAACAGTCTGCATGCAGATGAGTCAGATCTTTCAAGCGGATACACATGCAACACTCAGGTTCTGGAACAGGACTGCAGTCCAGAAGTGGATGAACAATCAGAACTTTCCACCAGAGTTTACAGCTGGTAAAGTTGAAGAAAGAAGAAGATAGACCAGGGCTATGGTCTATAACTGGCAACCCACGGGGCCACATCTGTCCCACGAAGGCCTAGTAAGTGGCCTGCAGATCATCAACACTTGTATTGTATTACTGATCTTTCTTTGCTGGCACTGGAGCCTCTTGAAAATTATGGCCCCTGCGTAAACTTAGTTGAATAGCCCTGTCATAGACCATTCCAGTTTTTATCGTAGAACATTCCCGTTTTTATCTTAGACCATTCAAGTTTTTTATTCTAGACCATTCAAGTTTTTATTCCTAGACCATTCCAGTTTTTATCATAGACCATTCCCATTTTTATCTTAGACCATTAAAGTTTTTATCTTAGACCATTCCAGTTTTTATTTTAGATTATTCCAGTTTTTATGTTAGACCATTCCAGTTTTTATCTTAGACCATTCAAGATTTTATCTTAGACCATTCCAGTTTTTATCGTAGACCATTCCAAGGTGTTGCTAAAGTTCTGTGCCCATATTTGTGGTGGTCAGCTTCTACTCTTCTTTATGTATGAAAAAATACACATATACACTATAGATATATACCAAGAAAAAATGAAAGCAACCGAACAAAAGCTTTACAGTATAAAAAATGCAAACAAAATGTGGATGTTGCAGATATGGAGCCTTCATCAGCATATACACAAATCAAACAATACCACACAAAGACACAAAATCACTTTACTGGTATCTTGAAACAGCCAGGTCGATGACTTCTCATTAAACTGCCGAGACTCGTGGGTCTGGGGCATAAATACCTCCTGTGGAGTACCAGGGGCCATAACTGGGGGGTTTGAGATGAAACTGTGTGGGCATTTCAGTCCTCTAGGAGTTTAAATAAAACTGTGTTAGCAGTTCAGTCCGGTGGGTGTTAAAGTACCCAAAGTGTAAATAAAAGGATTTTCAAGAGGCTTGTGGACTCTGTCGCTGCAGTGGCTAGATTTAATGGCTGATACCTCCATGTCGAGGACACCTTGGTACAAAATAAATATTTACTCATGTACAGCATTGATACTGGATTTTGAAAATTGTGACGAGAAAAGCCTTGACTTACAGTACCACCTGCAAATCATCTTTTGGGCTTACATTGCTAATGTTTGCTGCAGGTATCTCGATGATGTTGCTCTGCATCATTTGATAGACGCTTTGTGCAAGTTGTCTGCAGAATCAATGGAGCTGGCCTATTCTAACAGGGTAAGTTGAAATGTGTATTGTTGCATTATTGTCGAGAGGTTTTTGGTCAACTGTGTTCTGTTTTAACTGTTTTTGTGTGCATGTATACATCAGAGGGCCTATGCATGACTTTTTCAAATCAGTAGTCGACCACTTTCCGGGCTTTCTGACAGTGGTACGAGAAGTGCCTCTTCTTCTTCTTAACTCTTTGTGGACTAATCGCCACTTATCTGGCGTTTGAGTTTATTCCGATCAGACTATTGACCAGTATACTGGCGCTTCATAGAGATATTCTAATTGTGTTCCTTTTGCGGGGGAAACCGAATTTGTATGAACTGTTAACAAAAAATAGGATTAGCAACAGGTAGTCCTTTTGTATTCTGAAGTTGGCATTGTGTTTGCATCACACTCTGATTTAAAAAAAAGTATATTTTTGTGCGATATAATTTTTACGTGATTTTTCTATATTAAATGATAAAGGAAAAGGTCTAGAACTGTTTTCTTTTGATATTTTTTAAATGCAATCTTCTTTTAATAGATCCGTTTAGAGGATTATATTATTTCTGTGATTATTTATCCTTTCTTTTACTATAAATTAAAAGATAGCGTGGATGGGGGGGCTGAGTGGTCTCGAGGCATGGCGTCTACCTCGAGTGCTGGAGGTCCCAGGTTCAGGCCCTGGTGAAGGCTGGGATTTTTACACTTGGACTTCTAGTAATTTCCCCTATTCTTGCTCCATCCTTCGATGCAGCAGCCAATACAGTACCTACACACTCGACGTACCTGGCATGAGTTGAGAGGCATATTGTAAGGGACAGATAGCTATAGTGCGTTTCAGAAGTTTTGCCCTAACTCTTTAACAAATATCTCAAAAACACCTGTACGGATCAATACACATTTTTGCATGTGGTCTTAGATTTCCAATATCCTTATGATTTTGCAATTTAAAGTCACAGGGGTTGGTGTTTTCTTTAAGCAGCGAATTTCTTTTATCTTTATTTAACTAATAATTTGTTTTCCCCTAAAAATATTAATAATTTAGTAATTGAAACACACATAGTGATTGTTTGGGAATTAGTTCACATGTCACGTGATGCATAGCGATTATTTTAATAGCCTATCCCACATACAGTGAAAACTGTGACCATCTAACTCACAGGAGGCTAATGAAGGAGATGACCACCTGAAAACGCCTGTGTAGTTTGTGTAATTTGTTTTGAAAAGTTCCTGATGCTCAATTAACTGTGAGCGTGCTGATTGTTTGCATTGAATCGGCATCTCTTTCTTTTTCATATACCGCAAATAAAGCCAAATGGAAACTAGATATTTGTTCACATCTTTAAAAAGTCTTACAAGAACATGATTATTAACAGGTTGCATGCCAGATTTCAACAACTTACTCCAAACGGTTGCTGAGTCATATTTTTAAAGGTGGACACAACTTGTGAAATGGACTAAAGAAAGATAGAAATGGTTGTGCAAATATTAACTGAGCATTGCAAGTTGTGATATTTGCTTGGGGCAAAGGGCTGAGTACACAGAGACATTACAATTACATCTCAAACTGAATTACTAATTATAGAAATTATCTTTTTTTTTCTCCATCTCCTTCTTTCCTTTGCATTCTTTTTCTCTCCTCTCAGTCCTCTTATGTTTCCTCTTCCTTCTTATCATGTTTTCCCCTCTTCCTTTCCCTCCTGCTCATCCTCTTCACTAATTGTTTCTTCTTCTTCTTCTTCTCCTCCTCCTCCTCCTCCTCTTCTTCTTCCTCCTCCTTGTCCTTCTCCTTCTTCTTGTTCTTCTTCTCCTCCGACCTCATGCCCCTCAACCCTCCTTATTTTTGTTCGTCATAATCGTTGTATTATACCAGTGAACAAATCAGCAAATCGTCACATGAAGATTTGTTTCTTTCACTGAAAGAAGATTCTGTTTTGTCATGACAGTGAAGAGGCTGAACGATTGTTTCAGAAAAATCACTTATGTTTGGTAGAATGTTAAACGGTCGGAATGTTGCTTGAAGACAATTACTGTAATCGGGTGGCCTACGTGACGAAGACCAGAAGTGGACGAACAACCACAAGTTTACAGCTGTTGAATGCTAAGAAAAAGAAGGGGTTCTATTTGTGAGCGAGTTCTGCCGGGTTTGTTTTGAGTGCTGGTCTGCTTCATTCTGGGTTTGGTTGTAGAATGCTTGATGTTGGTTGACATGGTCTAATGAAGACATTAGTTCCATTTCCTTTACAGGGCATTGCAAACCAACCACAACAGTTGTTGGCTACTTTCCTGTGTTTTTTTTTGGGGGGGGGGGGGGGGGGGGGGGGAGAGAGGAGGAGGAAAAGAATAGACCCCCCCCCCCCCCCATGAAAGGCAAACAAATGTTGCTTACCACTAACAAGTGTTTCCTTCAGAGTTGGAATGCATCTGCCTTGAGAGGCAAGGAAGCAACAGTCTGCACACAAAAAAGCCAGACCTGTAAAAGGGATATGCATGCAAAACTCGGGCTGTGGAAGAAGACAAAAGTCCAGAAGTGGGTTGACAAACAAAACTGTCCGCCGGGGTTTACAGCCGGTGGATGCTGTGAAGAAGTAGAACAATTGGTTGTTTATAGTTTTACTAGGCAAGTTTATATTCACTAGTTTTGTCAATGCCAACTTAACGGTCGACTCTGCGGTATGTTGTCTGCCTCAACGCCAAGCGGACTGCTGCCAGATCGTCTACAGCTGAGTCGAAGCTAGTATAACAGAACTACAAACTGCGTTCGTAATGTGTAAGCAACACACGCCAGTGTGTAAACATAATGACGTCTGTGACAGAAACAAGTGAGCCGTGCAGGGTGTTGGCTAGAAGAAGAAGAAGAAAGAAAGAAAGAAAGAAAGAAAGAAAGAAAGAAAGAAAGAAAGAAAGAAAGAAAGAAAGAAAGAAAGAAAGAAAGAAAGAAAGAAAGAAAGCAAGCAAGCAAGCAAGCAAGCAAGCAAGCAAGCAAGCAAGCAAGCAAGCAAGCAAGCAAGCAAGCAAGCAAGCAAGCAAGCAAGCAAGCAAGCAAGCAAGCAAGCAAGCAAGCAAGCAAGCAAGCAAGGAAGGAAGGAAGAAGAAGAAGAAGAAGAGTGGGTGGGATGAGGAGAAGATAAAGAAAGAAGAAGCAGCAACAGCAACAGTAACACTATTCACTGAGGTTAATTTAGAACTTCTCATGAGAGTATGTGTTCAGAAAACATTGCAGCGGAACCCAAGAGTTGTTCATGACAGGGGCGTCATAGATTTTCATGTATCGTCGTTTATTGTTGAAGTATCTGCCTGTGCAACCATGTCACACAAACCCCATGTTGGTATACAACCCCCCTCCCCCCTTTTTTGTGGGGTATTGTCTTTATTAGCAAATGGAGCTTCCCCCTGTGGGTTTCGGCTCCCCCTCACAGTATGTCCTAGCAGGCGACTTATTTCGACGCTGCTGAAATAGTTACTACGTGGTCTCGATGCATGGTTTCCGCGTCGAGTGCTAGAGGTTCCGGGCTCAATCCCCTTTAAGGGCTGGAATTTTTTCACGTGGACTTGGACTTCTAGCAATTCCCCCCTGTTTTCTGGGTAGTGATATCTGACGCCCGTGTGCATTATTGCGCACTTAAAAAATCCCTTGGCAGATGGAAATCGAAAAGAGTAACCGAATGGCGCTGCCTGGGCACAAATTTGAAGTTCAAAATCTACCTAAAGTACTTCAGGATCCTCACCGGTGCTACAGAGCCTGTGCATTGTGCTGAGCGTCTTTGGAATCAGACTTGAGTTAGAAGAAGAACGGAGCACTTATGGGTTGCTACCCGTATGCCATGATGTTGATCCGTTGTTCAAAAACCAAAAAAAAAAAAAAAAAAAAGAAAAGATAAACAAGATTAAAGGCACAGATATTACAGCCTAGCTGTAGAACACAGCACATAAAAAAAGTAAAGAAAAGAGTCTGTAAACACTCGCTGCCAACCAGCTCACGCCAGGTCGTCATTCAGGCAGATCATCCAGTCTCTCTCTCTCTCCCCCCCCCCCCCCCCCCCCCCCCCCCATTTAGGTCTCTGGTTTCTAATTCCCTTCGCAATGAGTTTTTGTTTTTGTATCTGCCTCTTCACCATTGACGATTTGACGATGTGGATTGCAATGCAAGAACTTGTTAGGTGTATTGCTATCTTCTTCTTCTTGTTAGTGTTCATCAGTTATAACCTCCAGCGGAAAGTTCTGGTTGTTCGTCCACTTCTGAACTTTAGTTTTGTCCCAAAAACGTGAGTTTTGCATGCGCATCCATTTTACAGATCTGCTTTTTTATTTATATGTATGTGCCGACTGTTGGTTTCTCGCCTCTCAGGCGGATGCACTGCGACTTCTAAGGAAACTCTCATATTTAGATGACTTTATTGACATGCTTTTTAGGAGGTCCCAGAACTCACAGAAAGGAGTAGTATTGCTATGAGGATTTTTTAAATTCGTGTTTCCTATCCAACACCGGCATCTTTCACTCACCTCACGGTCACGATGGTTCGGAAAGAACACTAGCACAGCATATGGTCAGAACAAGCGGTCGTCGTGTAGACTATGAACTGCGAAATGGTTGACGCTGTGAACACCACCACTGTGAATGAAGCAGACACTTGCAGTCTTACCATATTCTTATCTTTAAACTGTGATATTAGTGATACAGTTGGAGAATCACTGATCTGATGATCAAAGCTATGACAGAAATAGGAAATTATAGGAGATCACATATCATTTCAATCGCGGTTCCTGTAATCTGTCTTATGTTAGAAATGAAAGTTGATCCTAGATTTGAGGCTGACAATCGTGTTAAGAAGTTTCTGGTGAGTCGCCCAAGCATGGGCGGACGGCGTTCGCCCTCATATTTCTTATTATAGAAGATGTGGTTGTTGCTGCTTCTTCTATGTTTAAAATACGGCAAATGTGGGGGAGAATAATCCTAGGATTGTGACCAGTGATGTTAGTACTCTTCTACCCTAGCAGTGCACAGAAAACATTAGGTGAGGACT